CCAAACCATATCACCTGGCCACATGGCCTGTGGGTGCCAGGAACCCGGAAGTGGACTTAATTGTAATTCCAAAGACGAGGCGTTTCTGCCAACACTGACTTAGCAGAACTATTTAATGAATTAATTACTTGGGAATGATGGAAGTTACCTCCAAGTTAATAAGGGTGATGGAAATTCATTATTTACACAAGGAAACCCACAGAACTAGGCAAGAGACCACCTAAAATTTTGTTCACCTGAAATTCCAGAGTTCTTTGGGCAAACCAAATGGGTGGTTGTCTAATTTTAAACTAAGAGGAACAGATAGGAAGTCTAGGCCATTAACAATGTGTGCTCTTGGTTCATTTTTCAAATGGACTTCATATTGCATTTTTCTTCTGATTCAGTTGAGATAGAGTGACAGCTCCTAAATGTGTGATATTTTCAGCTAAGTGCTAGTGTCCAAGGACAAGGGAATTCCCGAAAGAAAATGGTTTAAGTGAGGAGTAGCCAGAGAAACAGTGTGCACCTGAAACACTCAGACCAAAAAAAAAAAAATTCTGTTTAAAAATGGCTTTTAACGCTAAAGCACTGGAAGGATTAAATGTTCATAATTTAGAATTGATGATTATACCAGATTTTCAGATATGGCCATTTTCTGTGGAGGAGGAAGTGCTACTACCTTTGTCAGTTTGGACTGCTGTAACAAAATACCATACATGGGCTGAGTTGAATAGCAGGCATTTATTTCTCCCAGTTCTGCAAGTCAGAAGTCCAAGGTCAAGGTGCCAGCAGAGTCGGTGTCTGGTGAGGGCTCTCTTGCTGGCTTGCAGGTGGCCTCTTCTTTGCTGTGTCTTCACATGACCCTTCCTTGGAGTGTGCAAGTGAAGAGAGAAAGAGATCTTGTATATGGGACACGAGTCCCATCAGAAGGGCTCCATTTTGAGGACCTTATGACCTCCCAAAGGCTCCATCTCTAAATACCATGACATCGGGGGTGAGGGCTTCAATACAGCAATTTCGGGGGAACACAATTCCATTTATAGAAGCTAGCAAATAATGTGCTATTTGTGGAAGAGAATGATTTTCACACTATGATATTTTTTATTTTAACGGAGTGGTTGTGGTCAGCTGAAGTTCCACCAGAAGAAAGGAAGAGCAGCCAGAGAGGTTAGAAATAAGCCTCAGCACTCACGGCATTGTGATGTGCAGCTGAAGTCGCCCTGAGAAAGTTGCATTGGATGACTAAAAAGGATACAAATGAGACAAATGTCTAGTTGTTGTATAAACACACACAAAATTAACTTTTCCTCTATTCTCTTAGGTTCAGTACCTGGAGCCTGTGAAAGAAACTTATAAAAGACAAATTAACAGGTGAAAAAAACATTTATGACTTATGTATGTGGGAGCCAACAAAGGAAGTAGCTGGCTCATTAATGATTACAGTTAAAAGCTTATATATCTAACGTGGTAGGAGAGGAGAAGAGGGAGAAAGGCTTCCTATAGGAAGAACAAATAGGTTTATAGGTTTCAAGTAGTTTTTTTTTTTTTTTTTTTTGAGACAGAGTCTTGTTCTGTTGCCAGGGTGGAGTGCAGTGGCACGATCTCCATTCACTGCAACCTCTACTTCCTGGGTTCAGGTAATTCTCCTGCCTCAGCTTCCCAAGTAGCTGGGACTACAGGTCCATGTCACTACACCTGGTTAATTTTTGTATTTTTAGTGGAGATGGGGTTTTGCCATGTTGGCCAGGCTGCTCTTGAACTCCTGACCTCAAGTCATCTGCTCACCTCAGCCTCCCAATGTGCTGGGATTATAGGCATAAGCCACTGCGCCCAGCCCAACAAACAGTTTTTTTCTTTTTTTTTTTTTTTAAATGATACTTTAAGTTCTGGGGTACATGTGCAGAATGTGCAGGGTTGCTACTTACATATGCACATAACATGGTGGTTTGCTGCACCCATCAACCCGTCATCTACATTAGGTATTTCTCCTAATGCTCTCTGTCACTTTGCCCTCCACCCCCCGACAGGCCCCAGTGTGTGATGCTCCCCTCCCTGTGTCCATGTGTTCTCATTGTTCAACTCCCACTTATGAGTGAGAACATGTGGTGTGTGGTTTTCTGTTCTTGTGTTAGTTTGCTGAAAATGATGGTTTCCAGCTTCATCCATGTCCCTGCAAGGGACATGAACTCATCCTTTTTTATGGCTGCATAGTATTCCATGGTGCATATGTGCCACATTTTCTTTATTCAGGTGATCACCAAAAAGTCAGGAAACAGCAGATGCTGGAGAGGATGTGGAGAAGTAGGAACACTTTTACACTGTTGGTGGGAGTGTAAATTAGTTCAGTCATTGTGGAAGACAGTGTGGTGATTCCTCAATGATCTAGGACTAGAAATACTATTTGACCCAGCAATCCCATTACTGGGTATATACCCAAAGGATTATAAATCATTCTACTATAAAGACACATGCACACATACGTTTATTGCAACACTGTTCACAATAGCAAAGACTTGGAACCAACACAAACATGTTTTAAGGAGAAAATGTTACCAAACTGAAATTGGGTCTACCTACCTGGTGCAGTAAAGCCAAACACTGACATGGGGAGAAAGTGAGGCATTTATTACAGGGCGCCAAGCAAGGGGAATCAGACAGCTCATGCTGAAGACCCTGACTCCCAGTTGGTCTACAGGTAAGGATTTTTAGGTGTGAGGAGGTAGGAGTTACAGGCAAAGCTGTAAGTCAATACATGGAGGCTATACATTGGTTTGGCCTGAGAAGGTGAGACACCTCCAACAGGGGGTGCTCACAGGTTATGGGTGGATACAAAGCTTTTCCTATCTGTGATTGGTTAAGAAGGTGAACCTTTGTCTAGAAAGTTCATGGGCGTGACCTCCTATAGGCGCTTCAGGAAGAAATTTAGAACAAAGACCAGTGGTATGAGTTCAGTCCTCAGCTCCACCTTATCTGAGGTCTGCCAGCATGGATGGCATTTTTCATTTGGTGAGGGTCTGAGTTTCTGAAAAACAACCCAGGGACATACATTATGATGTTATCTTTAGTTTCTTCAGGGATCCAAACATCTTGTGACTGTAACGTCTTTGGCAATTGTTGTAAGCTATTGCCTTCTTGCTTATCACGTTGCTCATATACTTCTCAGGATTAGCCAAGTGCCTAAAATTTCCCTTAAAGGAACTCAAGATTTTCCTCCATCCATGCTTAGGATGGGCGGGGGAATGCCCAATAGGCCCCTAAGAGGGGTCCTTCCTCCATCTCAAACAGACGGGAAATAAGAAAGTTGCTGATAATATTTGCCTCTACATGTGTGAATGGTCTGTCTTTTCAGGGTCATAATATTCTCCTGGAGAAGGGATTGAGGGTAGGTTTTATTCTTATTCCCTTTTCTGGGAGTGTATCTATCCCAAAGAGGAGTTTAATGGAAGACTTATCTCCCAGAAGCTTCTGCTTTTAGTCAGATAAGAGAAGCTTTCTATCTGTTGAATCTCAAATATCTCCAGCTTACAATAATCTGTATGCCAAAGTGGCATGGTTTGGTGTGGTATATTCTGATCCCCTTTGTATACCCACAGTATCTGAGACTGGTGGTGTGATCTCGGCCCACTGCAACCTCTGCCACCCTGGTTCAAGCAATTCTCATGCCTCAGCCTCCCTAGAAGCTGAGACTACAGGCGCACACCACCACACCCAGCATATTTATTTATTTATTTAGAGATGGGGTTTTACCATATTGGTCAGGCTGGTCTTGAACTCCTGAGCTTGTGATATGCTCGCCTCGGCCTCCCAAAGTGCTGGGATTACAGGCATAAGCCACCATGCCCAGCTAATTTGTTAAGCAGAGATGGGGTTTCACCATGTTGGCCAGGCTGGTCTTGAACTCCTGACCTCAGGTGATCCTCCCACCTTGGCCTCTCAAAGTGCTGGGATTACAAGGATGAGCCACCACGTCCGGCCAGTGTCAATCAATTTAGAAAGCTTATTTTGTCAAGGTTAAGAATGTACCTGTGACACAGTCTCAGGCGGTCCTGACAACATGTACCCAAAGTGGTCAGAGCACAGCTTGCTTTTATACATTTTATGGAGGCATGAGACATCAATCGATATGTATAAGGTGTACATTGGTTCTGTCTGGAAAGGCAGGACAACTGGGGGCTTCCAAGTCATAGGTACTCAGAGACACACGGTTGCATTCTTTCGGGTCTTTGACCAGCCTCTCATTGAATACACAATTTACATGTGAGAGAGGGGTAGGGCGATAGTCACTTATGCCTTAGTGACCCAGTGAATCTGTATTTTTACATAAACAATAGGGCAGAGAAAGCAATCAGATACGCATTTGTCTCAGGTGAGCAAAGGGATGACTTTGGGTTCTGTCCTTTGCCCTGAACCTGTGGAGATAAGCTACAATTTACATTGCCAGGGTGAAATTCAACAGAACTGTTTTTAAGGTAAAGATCTGGAGGCCCACAAGGAACTTTTCTCACGGGCAGACCGCGAGGGAGGTCTGTAGCAGCCTTTTCATCTTTATCGCTTTCTTATTTAGGAATAAAACGGGAGGCAGGTCTGCCTGGCACAGTTCCTAGCTTGACTTTCTCCTTTTGGCTTAGTGATTTTGGGGTCCCATGATTTATCTTCCTTTCACATTTTCAACTGGAAAAAACAGCATTCTCTTCTTCCCCTGACCCCATTTATTTACTTCTTGGTCTTTAAATAAGTGAGCTATATCTTCTGTTAGTGCCTAGTATGCGCAGACATTGTTGACTCTGAGTTCCCTGACAAGATCATCAAAAAGGACCATTAAAAAAGCAGAACTTTCACTGGGTGTGGTGGCTCCCACCTGTAATCCCAGTACTTTGGAAGGCTGAGGCTGGAGTACTGCTTGAGCTGAGGAGTTCATGGTTGCAGTGAGCTGTGATCACGCTTCTGCACTCCAGCCTGGGTGACAGAGAAAGATGCTGTCTTCAAAAAAAAAAAAAAAAAAAGCAGACTGTTCAGTATGGTGCCGAGCATTGGGATCTTGGGAGACAGACAGTCTTCCAGAACTGTCACAGTGCTCTGCAAAGCCACGTTCCTGTGTTCACCTCCCAGCACTGGGGAGTAGGGAGTTGGAGCTCTGCCCTACCCACCAGTCCTCAAGCAAATGCCATGGAAACTGCACTTACTTCTAATGGCTGTCTCATCCCAGAGGACTGCACCCTCAGGACCTTTTTCTTTCTTAAGAGGGTTTGTTCTTGTGGACGTCTGGATGCCTGGCTGGGAGAAGGAGCCAGTTCCACCAGCCCATGAGCTTTGCTGGAGGCAAGGTCAGTCAGACAGGCAGCACATTTTGGGCAGCAAGGCTCTGTAAGCCTCCAGCTGGTGGAAGAGGACCAGCCTCCGGGTTGAGCAGGGCCTTGACTCCAAAGGACTTGGAAGAGGAGGAAGAGGAAGTGGAGGCCAGAGTAGAGGACAGACGGACCCTGAGGCCTCTGCATTCCCAGCCTGGGGCCTGGGCTTCCTGTGTTTGGCTGCCGTGTGAGGCTGGCTAATGATTAAGAAGGAACTATGCACCCTGAAGAGCTCCCTGGAGTGGGAGGCCGCATCTGTGTTTATAACACAGCCTGGGGTGTGACACAGCCATTTGGTAAGGAACTTCTGGTTCTGGTGAGGCAGAATCTCAGGACTCTCTAGTGGCCAGACAAGAGTGTGTTTCTACATTTGTGTGGAGAGAGGACAGCAGTCACAAATAAGCCTTTAGGAAATACAGCGCCTTTGCTGAAGCCCTACGGAGGGCTTACCTGTCATCTGGGGTAAGACAACTCCAGTTTGTGGCTCTCCTGTGACAGGTGATTGTCAGGTGAGTTTCTCCACAGGGACCCTCAAGCCCCGCGCAGGCTGTTATCTGCGTTTCTCTGGAAAGTGCTGGACATTTACACACATGATCTTCGCTTTCCAACTTCCAGAGAGTTAAAAACGACAAGAGGGGGCTTCTCTGAGAGTTCAGAAACTCCAGATGGTTTCTAATCAGTGAGTGTCACTTTCACAGTGAACTGTTCTCAGATGGGTTGAAACCTGAGACTTGGCTGAAATTTGGTGGGGTGGGAGGTCAGGATTCAAATAACAGAAAGTTTTAAAAATGCTTTTGTTGGCTTAGAGGGTACAAGCACAGCTTTGTTACATGGGGACATTGTGCAGCGGTGAAGTCCAGGCTTTTGAAAATGACTGACTCATGACGCCTCCAATTCATTGGACAAACTTGTAAATGCCTTTTTCCCTCTCTAGTGAGAAGACTTAGGGAAACTAGAATTGTCCTGAAGTCTCTGGAGGTTACGAGAAGGCAGGTCCTGCATGCAGGATGCACAGAGCTGGAGTCTTCTGAGTGCAGGAGGAATGCCAACGCCTCTCTATTGGGCCGAGGTGTGGAGGGAGCCCCTAAGTGGGAGCCGCTAAGACCCTTGCCAGGCTTTTGTTACAGCTATTTCCTTTTCTCTTTACTTTTGAAAAATTTCAATAGTTTTTGGAGTACAGATGGTTTTTGGTTACATGAATAAGTTCTTTAATGGTGATTTCAGAGATTTTAGAGCACCTGTCACCCGAGGAGTGTATACTGTGCCTAATAGGTAGTCTTTTATTCCCCACCCCCCTTCTTCGCTGAGTCCCCCTTCTATCATTCTTGTACCTTTGTGTCCTCATAGCTTAGCTCCCACTTATAAGTGAGAACATGTGACAGTTGGCTTTCCATTCCTGAGTTACTTTACTTAGAAGAATGGGCTCCAGCTCCATCCAAGTTGCTGCAAAATATATTATTTCATTCCTTTCTTGTGGCCGAGTAGTATTCCATGGTGTATATATACCACATTTTCTTTATCCATTCATTAGTTAATAGGCATTTAGGTTGGTTCTATGTTGTTGCCATTGCAAGTGTGTTGCTATAAACATGCATGTGCAATGTCTTTTTCATATGATGACTTTTTTTTCCTTTGGGTAGATACCCAGTAATGGGATTGCTGGATTGAATGGTAGTTTTACTTTTAGTTCTTTAAGGAACCTCCTACTGTTTTCATAGTGGTTGTACTAATTTGCATTCCCAGCAGTGTAAAAGTATTCCCTTTCACCACATCCACACCGACATTTATGGTTTTTTCTTTTATGATCATTCTTAGGAGTAAGTCAGCATCTCATTATGGTTTTAACTTGCATTTCCCTGATGATTAGTGATGTTGAATATTTTTTCATATGTTTGTTGGCTGTTTGCATATTTTCTTTTGAGAAATGTCTATTAATGTTCTTTGCCCACTTTTTGATGGACTTAATAGTTTTTTCTTCTTGCTGATTTGTTGTAGTTCCCTGTAGATTCTGGATACTCGTCCTTTGTTGGAGGCATAGTTTGCAAATATTTTCTCCCACTCTGTGGGTTGTGTTTACTCTGCTGATTCTTTCTTTCTTTCTTTCTTTTTTTGAAAGAGAGAAAGAGAAAGAGAAAGGGAGAGAGAGAACAGGAGTCTTGCTCTATTGCCCAGGCTGGAATGCAATCTAAAAATAGGTATTAAAAACCTCTTTTATGCTGATAATTGTGCTTAACAGCAGAGACAGGAGGGAATAAGGGAAGAAAATAACAAACAAACAGCCAACCAATATTTCATTTAAGTCTGTGAAATGCTATGCAAATGCTGAAGAGTGATTTACTTCCAATTATGTGGTCACTTTTGAAATAGGTGTAATATGATACTGAGAAAAATGTATGTTCTGTGGACCTGGGGTGAGGAATTCTATAAATATTCACCGAGTTTACTTGTTCCAGGTCTGACTTCAAATCATAGATGTCCCTGTTAATTTTCTATCTCGATGATCCGTCGAATATTGACAATGTGGTGTCAAAGTCTCCTGCTATTATTGTACAGGAGTCCAAGTCTCTTTATAAGTCATTAAGAACTTGTCTTATGTATCTGAGTGCTCCTATATTAGGTGCATATATATTTATGATCATTGACTCCTGTTGTTGCATTGATCCTTTTACCATTATGTAATGTCCTTCTTTGTTTCTTTTAGTCTTTGTTACTATTAAAGTCTATTTTGTCAGAGACAAAAGTTACAACTCCTATTTTCTTTTCTTTTTTTTCTTTCTTTTTTTTTTTTTTGCTCTCCATTTGATTAGTAAGTCTTCCACCAACCCTTCGTTTTGAGTCTTAGTGTGTCCTTGCTTATGAGCTGGATCTGGATACACAGAACTGATGGGCTTTGACTTTTTATTCAATTTGCCTGTCTGTGTCTTTGATCGGGGCATTTAATCCATTTAAATTTAAGATTAATATTGATATTTGTGAGTTTAATATTGTCGTTTAATGCTAGCTGGCTATTTTGCCCATAAGTTGATATAGATTCTTCATTATGGAGATACTCTTTACCTTTTGGTAAATTTTTGGGATGACTGATATTGGTTGTTCCTTCATGTGTATGGTGCTTCCTTCAGAAGCTCTTGTAAAGCAGGCTTGGTGGCGATGAAATCTCTGAGTGCTTGCTTGTTCGTGAAAAATTTTATTTTTCCTTCATTTATGAAGCTTAATTTGGCTGGATATGCGATTCTGGGTTGAAAATTCTTTCCTTTGAGGGTATTGAATATTGACCCCCACTCTCTTCTAGTTTGTAGGGTTTCAGCTGAGAGATCTGCTGTGAGTCTGATAGGCTTCCCTTTGTGGGTAACCTGACCTTTCTTTCTAGCTGCCCTTAGAATTTTCTCCTTTATTTCAATCCTGGTGAATCTAAAGATTATGTGTCTTGGGGTTGCTCTACTTGAGGAATATCTTTGTGGTGTTCTCTCTATTACTTGGAGTTGAGTATTTTCCTGCTTTACTAGGTTAGGAAAGTTTTCCTGAATAATATCCTGAAGAATATTTTCCAGCTTGGATTCATTGTCTTCATGACATTCAGGTACACCTATCAAACGTAAATTAGGTCTTTTCACATAGTCCCATATTTCTTGGAGAATTTGCTCATTCCTTTTTGCTCTTTCTTCTCTAATCTTCTCGTTTCATTTCATTAAGCTGGTCTTCGACCTCTGATATCCTTTCTTCTGCTTGATCAATTCGACTGTTAAAACCTGTGCATATTTCGCGGAGTTCTCATATTGTATTCTTCAGTTCCATTAATTCACTTATATTCCTCTCTAGATTGTCTATTCTTGTTAGGATTTTGTCGAACCTTTTTTCAAGGTTCTCAGTTTCTTTACATTGGGCTAGAACATGTTCTTTTAACTCACAGAAGTTTCTTATTATCCACCTTCTGAAGCCTAACTCTGTTAATGGAACGCACTCGTTCTCCATCAGGCCTTGTTCCCTTGTTGATGAGGAACTGTGATCCCCGTAGAGGGAGAGGCATTCTGATTTTGGGTATTCTCAGCCCTTTTACGCTGGTTTCTTCCCATCATTGTAAATTTATCCACCTGTCGTCTTTGTAATTACCGACTTTCAAATTAGGTCTCTGAGTGGACCTCCAACTTGTTGATTCCCAGCGCCAGAATCTGAGCAACCCACTGCGCTGGCCAAAACAGCGGCGTTAAGATTCGTGGTGCTTTTCTGCCTGGGAATCTTGGGTCTGGCTTCCTTCTTGAGTCCCTTTTCCAATCAGCTGAATAGGCGACTGCCTTCCCGGAGCTCCAAACGTCGACCAAAAGGGGACCCAGTCCCATTTACTCTGCACCAAGAACCACTGCGCTGGGGTGCTGGCAAAAGCGCCACGCCAGCCACAAGAGTCGCGCTGGCGACCCGTGGGGCTCCTCCACTGGGAATCTCCTGGTCCGTGAGCAACAAAAATTCATCCGAAAGTGTGGCGCCCTCTCGTTCTCTGTGCTTTCACTGGGAGCAACAATCCTGAGCTGCTAGTAATCAGCCATCTTGGATCTCTCTCCTGCTGATGATTTCTTTTGTTGTGCAGAAACTTTTTAGCTTAATTAGATTCCATTTATTTTATTTTATTTTTTGCATTTGCTTTTGAGGTCTTAGTCATTAATTTTTTGCCTAAGCTAATGTCCAGGGCATTGTTCTGATGTCATGTTCTAGAATTCTTATGGTTTCAGGTCTTATATTTAAGTCTTTCATCTATCTTGAGTTAGTTTTTGTAGAAGGTGAGAGATGGGGAATCCAGTTTCATTCTTCTCTGTATAGCTTGCCAATTATCCCAGGACCATTTATTTGATAGGGTGTCCTTTCCCCAGTTTGTGTTTTTGTATGCTTGGTTGAAGATCAGTTGGCTGTAAGTATTTGGCTTTATTTCTGAATTCTCTATTTCTGTTCCATTAGTCGATGTGCCTATTTTTATGTGAGTACTATGCTGTTTTTGTAACTATAGCCTTGTAGTATAATTTGAAGTCGGGTAATGTGAAGCCTCTAGATTTGTTCTTTTGCTTAGTATTGCTTTGGTTATGTGGGCTCTTTTTTTGGTTCCATATAATTTTTAGGATTATTTTTTCTAGCTCTGTGAAGAATGATGATGATATTTTGATGGGAATTCCACTGAATTTGTAGATTGCTTTGGGCAGTATGGTCATTTTCACAACATTGATTCTTCCCATCCATGAGCGAGGCATGTGTTCCCTTTTGTTTGTGTTGTTTATGATTTCTTTCAACAGTGTTTTGTGGTTCTTGTAGAGAACTTTCACCTCCTTGGTTAAGTATATTGCTAAGTTTTTGTTTGTTTTTGCTGTTGTAAAAGATGTTGAGTTCTTGATTTGACTCTCAGCTTGGTCATTGTTAGTGTATAAGTGCCACTGATTTATATACATTGATTTTGTAACCTGAGACTTTACTGAATTTGTTTATGAGATCTAGGAGATTTTTGGACAAGTTTTAGGGTTTTCTAGGTATACAATCATATAATCAGCAAACGATAACAGTTTGTTTTTGTCTTTTCCAATTTGGATGCCTTTATTTCTTTCTCTTATCTGATTGCTCTGACTAGAACTTCCAGTACTGTGTTGAATAAAGTGGTGAAGTGGGGCATCCTTGTCTTGTTCCAGTTCTCGGGGGAATGTTTTCAACTTTTTCTCATATAGAATGATGTTGGCTGTGGGTTTGTCATATATGACATTTTTTTATTTTGAGGTAAGTCCCTTCTATGCCTATTTTGGATTTTTTTTGCATATATTGAGATGATCATATGGGTTTTTGTTTTTAATTCTGTTTATATGATGTATTACATTTTTTGACTTGCATATATTAAATCATCCCTGCATCCCTGGGGTGAAACTCACTTGATCATGATGTATTATATTCTTGATGTACTACTGGATTCTGTTGGGTGGTATTTTGTTGACCACTTTTGCAACTACATTCATTAGGGATATTGGTATATAGTTTTCTTTATTTGTTATATACTTTCCTGATTTTGGTATTAGGGTGATACTGGCTTCATGAAATGATTTAGGGATGATTCCCTCTTTCTCTTTCTTTTGGAGTAGTTTTAGTAGGATCGGTACCAATTCTCCTTTGAATGCCTGGTACAATTTAGCTGTGAATACATCTGGTCATGGACTTTGTTTTGCTGGCCTTTAAAAAAATTGCTTATTCAATTTCACTGCTTGTTATTTGTCCATTCAGAGTTTCTATTTCTTCCTGATTTAATTTAGAAGGATTGTATGTTTCAATGAATTTATCAATTTCTTCTAGATTTTCTAGTTTGTGCACATAAAGCTGCTCATAGAAGCCTTAAATGATCTTTTGTATTTATGTGGTATTGGCTGTAATAGTTCCAGTTTCATTTCTAATCAAGCTTATTTTTATATTCTCTCTTCTTGGATAATCTTACTAATAGTCTATCAATCTTGTTTGTCCGTTCAAAGGACCAGTTTTTTTGTTTCATTTATCTTTCGTATTTTTTTGTTTCAATTTCATTTAGTTCTGCTCTGATCTTTGTTATTTCTTTTATTCTGCTGGGTTTGGGTTTAATTTGTTCTTGTTTCTCTATTTCCTTGAGATGTGACATTAGATTGTGAATTTGTGCTCTTTCAGGCTTTTTGATGTAGGCCTTTAATGCTATGAACTTCTTTTTTTTAGCACTGCTTTTGCTATATCCCAGAGGTTTTGATATGTGTTTCACTATTATCATTCATTTCAAAGAAATTTTTAATTTGCATCTTGATTTCATTGTTAACCCAAAAATCATTCAGAAGCAGATTATTTAATTTCAATGTATTTGTATAGTTTTGAGTATTCCTTTTGGAGTTGATTTCCAGTTTTGTTCCATTGTGGTTGAGAAGATACTTGATATAATTTGGATTTTCTGAAATTTATTGAGATTGTTTTGTGGCCTATCATATGGTTTATCTTGGAGAATGTTCCATGTGCTGATAAGAAAAATGTATACTCTACAGTTGTTGAGAAGAATGTTGTGTAAATATTTGTTAGGTCCATTTGTTCTAGGGTATAGTTTATATCCATTGTTTCTTTGTTGGTTTTCTGTCTTGATGATCTGTCTACTGTTGTCTGTCGGGTATTGAAGACCCCCACTATTATTGTGTTGCTGTCTATCTAATATCCTAGGTCTAGTAGTACCTGTTTTTTAAATCTGGGTGCTCTAGTATTAGGTGCATATAAATTTAGGATTGTAATATCTTCTTGTTGGATTAATCTTTTTATCACTATACAATATCCTTCTTTGTCTTTTTTTTCAACTGTTGTTGCTTTAAAATCTGTTTCATCTAAAATAAAAGCTACTCCTGCTTGCTTTTGGTTTCCATTTGTGTGAAATATATTTTTCCAACTCTTTACCTTGAGTTTATGTGAATGCTTAGGTGTTAGCTGAATCTCTTGAAGACAGCAGTTATTTGGTTATTTTTCTTTGTTTTTGAATCCATTCTGCCATTTTGTATCTCCTAAGTGGAGCATTTAGGCCATTCACATTGGGTTAATATTGAGATGTGAGGTACTGTTGTATTCATCATGTAAGTTGTTACCTATATGCTTCTATTTTTAATTGTGTTACTGTTTTATAGACCCTGTGAGATTTATGCGTTAAGCAGGTTCTATTTTGGTGCAATATCAACCTTTTGTTTCAAGATTTAGAACTCCTTTTAGCATTTCTTGTAGTGCTGGTTTGGTAGTGGCAAATGCCCTCAGCATTTGTTTGTCTGCAAAAGACTTTATCTCTCATTTATGAAGCTTAGTTTTGCTGGTTACAAAATTCTTGGCTGACAATTATTTTGTTTAAAGAGGCTAAAGACAGGACTCCAATCCCTTCTGACTTGTAAGGTTTCCACTGAGGAATCTGTATGGCTATTTCCCACCAACCCTGAGCAGACACTTGTTCCCTATTATGTTTGTGTTTGAGCTTCTTGCTGTTGCCCCAAACAGAACATTTTCTGGCACTTTTAAAGATTCCATTATAAAGCTATTTATGAGAGTCCGAAAATAAGGGGCTAATTAAGTGAGATCTCAAATGCACCAATTTTCTTTCTGAGAGGACTAGCTTGTGAGTCCTGGCTGATCTTCTGAGTGTGTTTGCCTCTTGTCAGGACAGGGAGGAATTGGTGGGTGGCTAAATCTTGTCTATTTAATACAATTTAATAAAACTAAAGACTTTAAGAAAAAAAGATTTTTCAACTAAGTGTGGGTAATTCAAGTCTGCTTTAATGAAATGAATGAGAAGTTAAATCTCAAGTCCTATTCAACTACCCCATAGGGATATTAATGAACAATACCTGGCATACGTTTTTATTTAATGAAAGCAGCTCGTTTGATTTCAGTTAAACTTGAAATCAGCTTTATGACAGTGTTCCAACTGCATACACCCTTCAAATGCTATCCTTTCTCAAATCCTTATATGTAGTAACCTCACTGTTTGATTTCTGGAGCTCTAAGGGTGTTTTTGCACTGCCTGCCCTGTGATTCTGCTAGATTCTTCTTTCATACGGAGTTAAAATACAGATGACATGTGAGGATGTTGGCAGAATGGAGTGTGTTGAGTAAGTTAAGCAATCTGTTCTTAGTCTGTTGCCTGACTCTACCCATTTATCAGGGACTAGAAGTCTTTCCTAATGGACCTCAATCTATTACTGCAATATTTCCTATAACACTGGGTTCACACTTGGCAATGACTACTTTTGGTAAAATATGTAATTTTTTATAACTAGATGACTCAATTTCTCCTTCATCCTCTGCTAGAGGCTGGCATTCCAGGTAACTACTTGTGGAGTTGTGTTAATCAAACCTTGACAATTAGTAAATGATTTATTTGACACTTCATAATTCTAGATCTTGGATCAATCTGGGAAGGCTGTGATTTCATTTTGGTTTGTGTACAGCTGTCGTACAACTTGCTACTGAGGCATATTTGTAGGAATTTGCTGAGTCTATCATAGATTATTGTAACAGGCTGGGTCCCACAATGGAATGGTGCTGCAGGTATTTCAAACCTTAAGTTATGGACATGAGTAGTTATAGTTTAGTACACATGTTGAATTTTGCTTTTCAAAGACTTCAGAGAAACAAAGGATCGGAAACTCCACATTCCTTCTCAAGTCTGTGAATACCCAGTAATGCACTTAAATGTTAAACGTGGGTCATCAGCCTGAGCATCTCTGCTGTCCTTTACACTGACACTCTGGGTTTCATTCAGTAACTTAGATGAGATGCCCACAGGTCAAGGTGTGGCTGTTGTTTTCCCATCACAATTTCAGTTCTTGTATTTATGCTTCTATGTTGGCTGGGGGTCTGCCTTCTAGGGCCTGTCAGGAAAGAAAGGGGACTGGAGCCCTGGATGTGTGTGTCAACACATTATAAAGTCTCGCCTCAAACCTGGCACCTCATATTCTGGAGGGACGGGTGGACGAGCCTCGCAGGGCTGTGTAATGTGTATAGATACCAAAGCTGAAATGAGAACCATCCAGGTCACTGGACTCCACACATTGGTGCTATGGACGAATGTTTGAAATAAAGAGACCCTTTCCTGAGGCTAAGGAGTGTTGTTTTGCAGGTGGTTCATGACATGTCTAGCATATAGGTGATCTAACCCTGAATCTTCCAGGAGGACACATCAGTACTGGTGAGTGCCTTGGATAAGCCTCTTCTAGGGGAGAGAAAAAAGCAAAAAGAAAAAATGCAAGGGTGGAGGGTGACCAAGAAGGCATCAAAAAACAAGGGGGTGGGGGTTGGAAGGAAGGAACAAGAGGTGCACATGGCAGAATCCTCATGTGCTGTCAATGGGCTGGCCAGGCCTTACCTATCTATCCTGACTTCCCTGAACTCTGGCCTCACCCCTTCCACCCACCTCGCGCTCTGCCTCAGAGCCTTCTCTACAGTTCATCAAGCCCAGCAGGCACAGTCCCTACCAGGGCCTTAGCACCTGCTGTTTCCTCTGCTGGGAAAGTTCTTCCTGCAGGTGTCCAATGCAGTGGTATGGTCTCGCCTCATTCACTGTGCAGGGTGCACCTTCCCGGGGCCTTTCCCCGACGACCCTGTTTGAAATGGTAGCTGGTCCCCCTCCTTGCCCTATTTTTCCCCACACCTATTGCCACCTTCTAGTAGGCTATATCATCTATTTATTCATTTGGTTGCCTGTCTTCCCTTTTGAGAATGTGAGCTCATAAGGGCAGGATTTTTTTCTCAGTGATTGAAATGAATGTAATAAGCCCCTGCTCTGCATTTTGGTTAGTACTTCAGGGGTAAGTCTATACCATCTACATCTCTTCGTGATGCAGGTGGGCTTATGGGTGGGGTAAGATGATTTCATCTAGTGATTCTCAAATTTGACGAGGCACCAGAATCACCTGGGGGGCTTGTTGAAATCCAAATTTCTGGGCCCACCCCAGGGGTTTCTGATTTAGGAGGTCTGACATGGGCCCAAGAATGTGTGTGTGTGTGTGTGTGTGTGTGTGTGTGTGTATGTGTGTGTGTGTGTGTGTGTGTGTGTGTGTGTGGTGTGTTTTGAGATGGAGTCTCACTGTTGCTCATGTTGGAGTGCAATGGTGCTATCTCTGCTCACTGCAACCTTCACCTCCTGGGTTCAAGCAATTCTCCTGCTTCAGTCTCCCAAGTACCATGGATTACAGGTGCACACTGCCACACTGGGATAATTTTTCCATTTTTAGTAGAGACGGGGTTTCAATGTTGACCAGGCTGGTCTCGAACTCCTGACCTCAAATGATCCACCCACCTCGGCCTCCCAAAGTGCTGGGATTACAGGTACGAGTCACTGTACCCCAGGTGAGGCTGCCACTGTCCACACTGAAATGTGTGGATCTAATGTGTCCACAGGCACACACTAGCTGTGGGAGGTGGCACAGAAGACTTCTGAACAGTAGATGCTCATCAGTGATGGGCTATTATCTGCTTGCTTTATTTTCCCAGGGCCAGGAAGAACATATAGAGATGCAGGGCTGCAGGAATTCTGTGCTGACCATGCTGGTCATCCTGGCTGGGCTGGCAGGTAAGGATCGCCTGAGCTTGGTGGGCTGTTCACTGACGTCCACTTGGGGTGTTGGGGGAATTTGGTGTTTAGGGTTGGATGCCTCTTGTTTCATCTGAAGGTCAAATCAAAGTCAAGGAGGGGTGTAGCTCCCTCCTCCCTCCTTTTCACCTCCCATCTGCAGAAGAGGGTTATGTGGCCTGCACAGATTGTATGATTTCTGTAGTGACACGTGTGGCCTCTGGGGTACATAAAGAGTGGCTTTGGAGTGAACTAAGTTCAGCACTTCACACAAGGCACTGGAAGGAACTGTAGTTTCAGAGGGATACTTGTTCTGTTGGCGTTGTGTGGCCCAGGCTTCTCACAGGGCAAGGCTGGGGCTCACCCAGCCCATTGTCCCCACACTCACCCTGCTGGGCTCTGTCCACTAGACTGCCAGGGACCGAGGCAGGAGTGCAGGAAGAGTGTGGTTATTACAGCATGGACACTCGAGGCATAGACTGGGCTTTTTCTCTTCTTCTTAACATGCAATTCAGAGTCCATGGAAAAGGCCCTCTGGCTTCCCTGGGGGGAATTGTTTCTAACTTCCATTTCTCAGACTTAAAAATCAAAGACCAAAGAGATCTTGGCTCAGAAAGGCTTGCCTGAGGTCAGGGAGAGTACCTAATCTGAGTTGTGTTTTAGAGTCATGCTTTTTTTTTTTTTTTTTTAAATCACATCCAGGGACAAAACAAAGAGCAGTAATCATGTTTATCCAAACTCTGGCTTAGCCTTAGTGAACTCTCTCCTTCTTCATTTCTGCCTCTCCCAAGCCGGTGGGCCCCCTCTTCAACCCTGGCATCCTCGTTTCCTGGTCCTGCTTCTGCAGGGCCTGTTCCTGATGGTGACTTCCTCCTTCCCCTTCACCTGTTGTTCTAGCAGGGGCAGCTCTGCTCCCACAATGCACCTAGGTATGCAGGTGAAGTGCTAAAGTGCTACTGCGTGTCCAATGGTGTGATTCCCCCCCAGAAACCTTTAGGGCTGTAAGGATAGTTTTTCAGAACTTGCCTTGCCATTTTTCTTTTCTTTTTTTGAGACAGTCTTGCTCTGTTTCCCAGGCTGGAGTGCAGTGTCACAATCTCAGCTCACTGCAACCACTGCCTCCCGGGTTCAAGTGATTCTCTGCCTCAGTCCCCTGAGTACTGGGACTATAGGCATCCACCACCAAGCTTGGCTAATTTTTGTACTTTTAGTAGAAATGGGGTTTCACCATGTTGGCCAGGCTGGTCTCGAACTCCTGACCTCAGGTCATCTGCCCTCCTCAGCCTCCCAAAGTGCTGGGATTACAAGCGTGAGCCACCATGCCCTGCCTGCCTTGCCATTTGACTTTACAAGGCGGAAGGAAAGGGAGGCGCTGCAGTGTTTCGGGCTACCTAGTGTATGTGATGGCAGGCTGCTTGGTTCACCCACGGGGATCCCACAACGGCAGAAGGTAGTAGGACATGTTGCAGTCTCACTGATGTGGTAGGCAACAACAAGAAGAAGCCACAGTATGTGGTCTGCCAGGGCGTCTTCTTGCTATAAACTCTGAATGACATCAGAAGGAAAAGAGTATGAAATTCAGAGTGGGGAAGTCTGAGTTTCGTCCCAGTTTCACTACTGTGAATGCAAATCCTGGGATGTTGCCAGTTGGCAGAGGCTTTTTTTTTTGTTTGTTTGTTTGTTTGAGACAGAGTCTCACACTGCCACCCAGGCTAGAGTGTAGTGGCACAATCTTGAATCACTGCAACCTCTGCCTCCTGGGTTCAAGTGATTTTCCTGACTCAGCCTCCTCAGTAGCTGAGATTACAGGGGCCCACTGCCATGCCCAGCTAATTTTTTGTATTTTTAGTAGAGACGGGGTTTCACCATGTTGGTCAGGTTGGTCTTGAACTCCCAATCTTGTGATATGCTCACCTCAGCCTCCCGAAGTGCTAGGATTACAGGCATAAGCCACCGTGCCTGGCCGGGCAGAATTGTTTTTCCATGGAGGCTGAGGAAAGATATTCCATGCCCGTTCCTGAACTCCTGATGTTGCTGCAGTCCTTGTCATCCCTTGGCCTGTAGCAGCATCACTCCAGTCTGCGTCCGTCCTCACACGGTGTTCTTCTCTGCAGGCCTCTGTGCCTCAAATCTCACTCTGCCTTCCTCTGATAGGAACACCTGTGATTGGACTTAGGGCCCATTCCAAACCCAGGTTGATTTCATCTTGAGATCCTTACCTAATTACATCTGCCAAGACCCTATTTTCAAAGGTTTCATTCTGAGGATCCAGTAGACATGAGTTTTTGAGGAATTCTGTTTAACCCAATACAGCTGTAGAGCTAGGGGAAAGGAGAACATAGCAGTGGCTTCCACTAGAAGCTCCTGGTCTGCCCAGGAGAGCTGGTGTTAGGATCTAAAAGACACACAGTCTGAGCCACTGGATGGATACTGCAGGGGTTACCACCAGTAAATACAGAAAGGCTACAGCACACAGTTGATTTATGGAGATCCACTCACTTGCCAACTTGAAAAACTGGCTGCTTTCCAGGTTCTGGATCTGGTTATGGAGTCATAGAAGGCCCCCAAAACGTAACAGTCCTGAAGGGCTCCCAGGCTCGCTTCAACTGCACTGTCTCCCAGGGCTGGCAGCTCATCATGTGGGCGCTCAACGGTATGGTGGTGCTGAGCATCCGGCCCACGGAGCCCATCATCACCAATGACCGCTTCACCTCCAAGAGGTATGATCAGGGTGGGAACTTCACCTCGGAGATGATCATCCACAACGTGCAGCCCAGTGATTCAGGGCACATCACATGCAGCCTCCAGAACAGTCTCCTGCATGGGTCTGCTTTCCTTATGGTCCAAGGTGTGTATGCAGGTGGCTTCCGAATGCGGCGTCTGACGTCCATTGGGTTAAATGTCATAGGGCAGGAAGGACCTTCTAAAATTCATGCCATGTATGATGGCAGATATGGTCTACCTTCAGTTGGTGTTGACCTACGACTATTCTGAACGGATGAATGTGAGGTTCTTTCTTTTAGACCTCACAATGTTTTGTGGATCCCAGCTGACTCTCCCCCACATATTTCTGTACCGTGCTCCCAACTACAGTGGGATAGTCATTATAGTCAAAGTTTTGTGTTCTCCAAGTATATCAAGCCACTGAGAGAAAAGAAAAGGGCAAACAAAATTGATAATAATAGCTTATTTTTCATTTTTAGAGTTAATTTTGGGGTGCTGAAGATGATGTTACAAAGTGAAAAAATGTAAAAGATACTTTACAAAGATTTGGAATAGTCGTACCAAAATTTAATCACTTTGCATTCTTTAAAAGTGTGTTTATATTCCATTTAAAGATATAGAGTTCCTGATTTCTATGGCAGCATTTCTTATAAGAGAAGATATTATATCTTAGAAATTACTTCTTATATCTATGTATTTGCTTGTCAGGAAGAAATTTCCAAAGATTCTGTCCATATTCATGTTTCTATCAAATCAGATTTGATAACATTTGGTGGAGACATGTCTACCTATTTCTATTTGTGTTTTAAAAAATGATTTTTTACTTTAGAAATTTAGCTAAATGGGTGTGTCTCTAATTTTGTTTTTAATTTTGTGTAGTTTAATTAGGGACACAATGATGTTTTCTAAATAAGTGATTTTATAAGGCTATTTAGGACTGTTGGCCTATTTTGCATGACCAGATTCTTATTGGGATGATTTGTGATATAAGGGAAAGAATACAGGAAAAGAGAATCAAAAATATAAATTCTGGTTTTGGCTGCATCAGTTATCTGTCAGAGAGACCACTGAGATGGCTCAATTTCTTCATCTTTAACCTGGAGATGAACCTTCCCAGCCCACCTCGTGGGCTTGCTGTGTGGATCAGGTGAAAAAATGACTAAGGATGATTTGATGACTCCAAAGTCCTGTCTGATTCAACTCCCTGCACATTAAGTTGGGAGCCAGAGTAATGTAGTGGTCAGGAGTGCAGACTTGGGGCTTGGCTGCCTGGGTCCATGTTACTGCTTTATGACAAAGCATGACCCTGGACACAATTACTTAATGACTTTGAGTCCTAGTGTCCTCATCATGGGCTGCCGTGGTGTCAAATGAGTAGGTCTATGTAAAGCCTTTACTGCCCCTGGCTCGTAGCAATCATTGTACAGCTGTTTGCTATTATTTATTGTGTTCCCAATAAAAGCATGCCATTGTGTTGGGTATTTAAGAGTGACTCAAAGAGGAATAGAATAAGACACAGTTCCTTTCTTTTAGAACCTCACAAGAAGAGTGCAGAATGCAAGCTGCACAAATAATAGGATGCCAGCCACCCAGATGCTGGCAAGTCAGATGGAAAGACAAGGTCGGGTTCCCATTGGGAGGGCAGCTGACAGAGTCGGCAAAGCCTTCGTGGATGAGTTCATGGAGAAGGTGCCATTGGAGATGTGCCTTCCGGGTCTGTAGGTGGTAGACAAAATGGGAAAGCAAGAGAGGAGGGGGGCCTGGGTCAGGGAAACACAGCATCACAGGTGTGGCTTCTTATTCCTATACTTACGACACATCACATTCAGAAACCATGTGATTTTTGTAGCATCTTTTCCCAAAGTTACAAGTCTACAAATTTGTCTGAATACCCATAACATGCCTTTTTATGTGTTGGTAATTATGGTAGTTTTTGGTTTTAATATAGATGGAAAAGCAAGCGTCTAGAGAAGGCAAAGACTTCTCCAAGACATTGCGAGAGGAACCCATAGAGCTGGGACAGAACTCCATCCTGGTATCCTCATCTCATTGCTCTGAATGGCACTTAGTTCCTAGCAGAGCAAATGTTCTCCTAGCAACAGGGTCTCCCTCAAGGGAGAAAAAAAAGAGAGGAAACAATCATGAATTATTCTATGATTTTTTCCCCCTCATTATATGTCAACAAAATAGAAATAACATAACTCCAAATTGAGTCATCTGAAATCCATGTGAATATTCTAGTATCACTTTTGTATAAAGTGTTTGTCATGCTACTGCAAAACCTTTATGAAAGCCAGTGGGGAAAAGTGGAATCCCAACTGTGTATAGAAAAAGGAAAACCTGTAGGTTGTTGAGCTGGTCCACTTACTGCCTTATGCACCAACTAGTAATCACACACCAAACTCTAGACCTCTTATGTTTTGAGGGCCTCAAGGACTTGAGTTCAAGAGCTTCTGTTATTAACTGAGGCAATGTCGTTCTTCCCAGCTCTGACATCTTAAACCACCCCTCTGTCAAACAAAACAACAAACACAAAATGCTTTAGACTTTAGGGACAAACCCTTTCTCCACTCCTTGTTGCATTTACAGTAGCTCTTTCTTTTTTTTTTTTTTTGGGACGGAGTTTCGCTTTTGTTACCCAGGCTGGAGTGCAATGGTGCGATCTCGGCTCACCGCAACCTCCGCCTCCTGGGTTCAGGCAATTCTCCTGCCTCAGCTTCCTGAGTAGCTGGGATTACAGGCACGCACCACCATGCCCAGCTAATTTTTTGTATTTTTAGTAGAGACGGGGTTTCACCGTGTTGACCAGGATGGTCTCAATCTCTTGACCTCGTGATCCACCCACCTCGGCCTCCCAAAGTGCTGGGATTACAGGCTTGAGCCACCGCGCCCGGCCTTACAGTAGCTCTTGAATTAGCAAAGTGCCTCTCTTATTCCAAGGGAATATTCAGGAAGGAATAATTCAGAGCTGACCCAGTTCACAGTAGTCTGGGGACTCCTTGGTGTACCCTTAGATCCTTTCAGGGTGGTCTGTGAATTCATGATTGATTTTATAATAATATGAAGATTTGTATTATTGTTGCCTTTTTCACAAGTGCACAGGAGAGCTTTCCACTGTACATTGGGAAGGTCTTCATGACTCAGCAGACCAGCGTTTTCCAAATGACTGAAGTGTAACAAAATCATGCAGGGGTAAAAGGTCCATTCAAAGTACCAGATAATGCAATGGATTTTAATGTAACGGAGAATGAAAGTTCCTTGATAGAGTTTCAGATTCCACTGTGTAACAAACACTTAAGAAACCTCAGCTGGGAATGGTGAATCACGCCTGTAATCCCAGCATTTTGGGAGGCCCAGGCGGGCAGATCACTTGCGCCCAGGAGTTTGAGACCGGCCTCGGCAACGTGGTGAAATTCCATCTCTTAAAGTAAAAAGCACTGGGCGCAGTGGCTCATGCCTGTAATCCCAGCACTTTGGGAGGCTGAGGCACATGGATCACCTGAGGTCAAGAGTTTGAGACCAGCCTGACCAACCTGGAGAAAGCACATCTCTACTAAAAATACAAAATTAGTCAGGCGTGGTGGTGCATGCCTGTAATCCCAGCTACTCGGGAGGCTGAGGCAGGAGAATTGCTTGAACCCAAGAGGCAGAGGTTGCCATGAGCCAAGATTATGCCATTGCATTCCAACCTGGGCAACAAGAGAGAAACTCCATCTCAAAAACAAACAAACAAAACAAAACAAAGAAAAAGAAAAAAAGTAAGCTTTGGTAACAGTATTCAAGAATATCCACAATTATCTGAAAAAGCTATTAAATACTCCTCACTGTTCCAACTACATATCTGTGTGAAGTCAGGTTTTCTTTACATTCTTCAAACAAAGCAGTATATTGCAACAGACTGACGAAAAAACTATGAGAATCCAGCCAGACATTACAGAGATTTGCATAAGTATAAAACAATGTCACTCCTCTTATTTTTTTTTTGTTTAAAAGTGTAATTTATTTCCATGAAAATATGCTAATCAAAATTTACACATAATAAATTATTTTAAAATACATATTTAAAATAATTGTTTAATTTTAATTTCAAATACGATAATTGTTACTAGCTAAAACCCACATAAGTGAAAGGTCTTTGGAGTCCTCAATGATTTTGAAGAGTATAAAAGGTACTGAAACCAAAGTGTTTGAGAACTGCTGATCTGGTCAAACTATCTCATTCAGTAAGTACAAAAAAGAGAGCCAGGAAAAATTCAGTGACTTGCCCAAAGGGATGACAATTTTCTGGTAGAGCCAGTATTGAAAACAGATTTTTTGATTCTTAGTCCAGTATTCTTTCCATTATGTTGTGTGGCCCAGAGTTTCAGCATGTTTTAGCTTGGACATTTCTCTCTCTCTCTCTCTCTCTCTCTCTCTCTCTCTCTATCTATCTCATATATATATATATATATATATATAATGTACATTTCACTAAGGCTGTGTCTTTACTGGGGCCAATTCTCAGGTTGTTTAGTAATACCTGTGAAAACAAGTGTTATTTTCATATGTGTTATTTGCAGTGTGAACACTGACCTATGCAAGGGTGTTCTAAAAAATAAAAAATAGCTTATCTAAGCTATTCTGATACATGATTTGGTTTAGTTATTTCTGTAAAGATTAGATTGGATTTTGATTTAATTTGTAATGAGAAACCTATGTTAAGTCAATATCATAGGAAGTTATGTTTAAGACTATATGACCCAGAAATAAATAAAATGTATCTAATTGACCAAAACTCCTGGGGAGACTTGTGTCCCACCCTGGGCTGTATCCTCCTCACAGTGAGAAGGTGAAGCTCGTTTCTCTTTTTCCCTTTGCTCCCTGGGCAGCCCAAGATAACTTTGTGGCTCCTTCAGAGATTGCATAGCCTCTCATGGCATGCACTCCCTTTTTTGTTTCCCGTATCATTATTTCCCCCTGGTTTCTGATTTTTATGAAGCATTTTCTATGTAACTTTGTGTTTTCTTGTGAGCAACCTCACCTTCTTCAGAGACCATAGCAGGTGTACAAAAAAGACTCAGATAAAATCTGAGTTAAGATCTCCTAGCAGAGATGCAGCCTCTTTGAGCTTGGGAAAATAGGTCTCACAAAATGTGATTTGAAGCAAAAAAGAAAAGAAAGAAAAATCTTTAAAAAAGAAAAGAAAGAAAAATAAAACCTTAGAAGTGAGAGGCACAGTCATGTGTTCAGTGTGTTTCTCTCTTTTCTTCTTTAGTTATGGGAGAGTTGTTCATTCCCAATGATAATCTTGTAGTCGTTGAGAATGAACCTTGTAGAGTTACTTGTCGAGCCTTGAACTGGCCCGTGCTCCCGGATATTTTCTGGGAGCTCGGTGCCCTGGTCAGCCATTCAAGCTATTATTTTGCTCCGGAGCCCAGCGACCTTCAGAGTGCAGTGAGCATCCTGGATCTGATCCCACAGGGCAATGGGACTTTGACTTGCGTGGCTACCTTGAAGAGCCTGCAGGCCTCCAAGTCTGCAACTGTAAATCTCACTGTGATGCGGCCTCACCGAGGTAAGTGAAGACTTTCTGCTTTATATGAAACGAATGATTGTTTCATGCTTAAATCTTATGTAGAATGCTGCTTCATCCACAGTGCCTGGAGCAATCATACGGCGACTTTGATTTCGGGTAGGGGTGATCAGGCTGATCACATCTGCTGTCAGCTTCCTAATCCTGGACCCTCATTGGCTTTTTAAATTCCATCTCTAAGTTTTTTTCTTCTCTCTCTCCCTTTTTTTTTTTAAATAACATTTGAAAACCATTTAGAATCTTGGCAATTATTTATCATCAAAGAACATCAAGTTTGGAGACAAATACTGGAATTAAACACTTTTTCTCTAGCTTTTACCCACCACTGTTTCAGTTCGATCCCACCCCCTGAGACAGCAGCTCCTCGTATTGCAGGAGGGTGTTCAGGTCTCCCTGGATTTTTTCCAATCTAAGTGGAACTCTAATGCTTCATTTTTTTTTTAACCCAGCAAATCCACAGTGTATTTGAAAGTGTCGAGCCTGTATGTATAGTTCAACTTGACTAAGCGACATAACTTTAAAGCTCAGGTCCGCCTAAAGAATCTGCTGTGGGATGTTTGGCATAACGGAAACTCTAACCACATTCCTTGAAAGGGCCCATACAGCCTGTGAGCTTTGAATCAGCCTGGACAGGGTGGACCAGGGGTGCTGGAGATTGACTTTAACTTAACATTTTACAAAAGAGGAAGCAAGGCCTGGAGAAATTCTGTGCTTCCCTCTGGGTCACATGCCACAATGGTAGAGCTGGGCCTAGAAGCTAAGAAGAAAAAAAAGCTTCTCATCTGAAGCTTTTCCCACCATGACAACATCTTTACCTGAGATCTTCCAAAGTTCAGAACAAAGCCACAGCCAAAGCCAAGTAATAATAATAACAACAATAAGAAACAGCATTCCCAGCACTTACCAAGTTGTCAGGCACCGTTCTGAGCACTTCTCAAATAGTCACAGAATTAACCTGCTTGACAGCTGTATGAGTGAGTGTTGCTGTTATTCCTATTGTAAAGGCAAGATGACAGGGACAGTGCTGTTGGGATTTTGCCCAGGTCTGTAGAGGGAGTAAATGACAGGGCAACCCCAGGCAGTCTGTCTCCAGAAACTGCTCACCTGGAAACACTGCTTGCTGTGTGAGCAGCCACGTGGAGGGTATATGAGGTCCTGTGGCTGTCGTAACAGGAGACCACAGGCTTGGTGGCTTAAACAAGAGAAAGGGATTTTCTCCCTGTCCTGAAGGTTGGAAGTCTGAGATCACGGTGTCAGCTGGGCTGGTTCCCCGTGAGGGCTGCGAGGGAGCCTCTGTTTCTTGCCTCTCCCCTTGTTTCCTTGTGGTTGCTGGCCATCTTCCACTTCCTTGGCTGGTGGAAACATCACCCTCATCTCTGCCTTCAACTTCACTTGGTGTTCTCCCATTTTTTGGGGTCTTTTCTGAGACAAACATTTTTGAACATTTTGTACAGATTGTTTTTGCAAGGTGCCTCTCAATTTGGATTTGTCTAAAATTTTCAACATACTTTGATTTAGGCTACATATTTTTGGCAAGATATAGGTAATGTCATGTGGTTACAGGATGACAATTTTCACTCACATGGGTCTAAGTTTGACCCTTTGGTGAAGGTGGCATACCCTGAATTTATCCATCATAAAAGTACCTTTTTTGCCTTTATAATTAATGTGTAATCAGTAGATATTGTGGGAATACCCTGTTTACCCACAGTCTTTCACCTAACAAAATTGTTTTTTGAAACTTTTAAGTTTAGGGTTATACACGCTGGTTTGTTATATAGGTAAACTCGCGTCACAGGGGATTGTTGTAGAAATTATTTTATGACCTAGGTACTAAGCCTAGTACCCATTAGTTATTTTTCCTGCTCCTCTCCTTCCTCCCACCCTCCACCCTCAGATAGACCCAAGTGTGTGTTGTTACCCTCTATATGTCCATGTGTTCTCATCATTTAGCTCCTACTTATAAGTAAGAACGCGCAGTATTTAGTTTTCTGTTCCTGCGTTAGTTTGCCAAGGATAGCGACCTCCAGCTCCGTCCATGTCCTTGCGAAGGAGATGATTTTGTTCTTTTTTCACCTACTAACTTTTACATTCATTGATAAATCATTGCCTGAATCGATGACTTCTACGGTGGTTGTAAAGAGTGATTTTCTGCCTCTATTGTTCTTTCTGTATCTAGTAATTGGCTTTCTTTTGTTAAACAAGAGACTTCTCTCCCCTTTCTTCCGTTTTCTTTTTTGCATTTTAGTAGGGACTCAGTTTTGTTCAACACACTGTAATCTGTTCCTGTCATTTTTCATTTTGACACTCAGATTGCTCCAGACTTGGCCATCAGTGTCCCTTCAAGCTGTGCTGGCATCCTTCCAACAGCCTCCTGTTAGTTTTCCAGCACCTGGACCTGTAAGGTCTTCCAGACTCACTTTGCATTCCCAAGTCCCCGCCTGGAATCAGTCATTTCTCCAGGGAGCTAACCTTAAATATCATAAGTTAGTCTACTTAAATATAATAACGTACGGTCCAGGCTTTGAAAGGGAAGATTCTTAAAAATTCCATTAGCACCAAATGGAATAAAATGGACTGTTTAAAGCATATATTTTAACAAGGTAATGATACAGCAGGAGTTCTGGCCTGATTGATGGTACCTTAGAGAGATGGATTTTAGCGACTGGCTTGCCAGCAAATGTTTTCTTTTTATGGTGGAAGGGAAAGGGAGCAATTTCTTAATTTCCCTTGATCAGGTTTAACTCACCTGAATTCTTCTTAGACCAAGACTGGCGACTTAATGACAGCAGCCAGAGGCATGACGGCTGGGAGAGGGAGGCCCGGTGGAGGCTTGCAATGAGTCTAACTTTATTGGACTCATTTGGAAAAGGGTAATTTGTTTCTAAATTATTCATCAAGAGCCAGTGCAGCTGGTGGTTGGCTGCATGTTGCGTGTTTTATGTAAGTTTTATTAGCTGAAGACCTCATTGCAGCCTTGGCTGGCAGAGCTGGTGACCAGACAAGGCTGTGAGGAGCACACCCAGGTTTCCAGAGAGCCAAGAATTAAAGGGGCTGTGCCCATTCAGGCTTCTTCAGGAATCAGATAAACATCAATTTTTCCACCCATTTCCTAAAAGTGCAAAGCATTTGTTTTAATTTCTGAAATGGTCTCTCCAAGTCATTGAAAGAAGAATGACGTCAGCTTTGGAGGCCTATCCAATCAGGGCAAGCCACAGGGTTGTATGAAATACTTTCTGGTTTATAGTTCAAAAGGTTTCTTTAGAGAGAAGCATACTGGGAGGGCTGATGCTCGCTTCAGACCTGTTTTTTAGAAATTGATTTTCTTAACTACAGAAGTGACACAAACCTCGAGCACTGCTGATGTATCCAGAACTAGAGAGTGAGGCCCTCTCACCCCATCTTGGGACATGCATTGTTAGAGCCACCTGCCCCTCGGGGTGGTTTTCTTTGTGCACTTACTTGTGGGTAGGTTGTGAAATGGTTAATGTGAAGCACTGTTTTTCGGACACATGAGCACCTTGTAGAATGTAGTGATTCCTGGTCATAACCTTACTATTTTGAGAAATGGCAATTTTGGGCGCAGAGGGGTGTAGTAGAAGTGGCAGTCCTAGGCTTTTCCTGTGGCACTGACGGTGCAACTTTGGGCAAGCCAGCAACCTTCCGGGCTCAGTTTTCTCACCTGTGACGTGGGTGGGAGAAGAATAGAGAAGTTCTCTCTCCCAGCTGTGGGTCAGAGCCAGCAGAGGAAGCTTCTTCATAAATATGTGGAGGCTCAGGTCCCTCTTGGGGGTTTAGTTTCATTGGTTTTTGTGGAGCCTGGGAATTGCAATTGTAAAAAAGTTCCCAAATTCCTCTAATGGGTGGCCAGGATTTGGGGGCTACTGAACTGAAAAAGTCTCTAAGGCTTGGGCTTCCATCCAGCCCGATCAAGTGTTATGTCTATACAGACTTGGACATTAGACAGCCTGGGTTCCAATCCCAGCTCACCCAATCACTACCTGTGTGTTCTGTGCAAGTTACTTACCCTCTCTGAGCCTGTATTTTAGAACAGTCCTTGCCCCAGAGCACACAGGACTGGAGAGGGAGTGGTTGTTCTCATTTACAGTGTTAATTCGGAGATCTCCTGTGTCACCTCTCATGGGCACAGGGGTGTGCTTTGCACACGATTGATGGTGATGACATTTGGTATTAATATGTACCTGGCACATGTTGGTGCTGACATTTTATATTAATACATTTGGTTTCAAGAAATTCTATACCTTTTTAAAACTCTATGCATTCCTTTGAGAGCATCTGGGAAATGCTATTTTCCTTTTCTTCACAGATGGGGAAAGGACAATCTCCAAGCGGAGACTAAAGCACATGGTAAAGTCAGTCATGGGGCCCTAACAAGCACACAGAGGTGTGATGGAGCATAGGGAGATAGGCAAGCAGCGTGGACCTTGGAGCTAATCTTCCTTAGTCACTGAGTGTGGGTAACTCAGGTATACTCATCTGCTCCAGCAAAGCCGCCATTCCCCTTGAGCCAGGCACACCCACACCCTCCATAGTGTACAAGACACAGACCAGCACCCCACTGTAGACTTTATGCAAATATATTTATGTTGTATCTGGGCCATATTTTCCTCAGAAGGATTATTCCACATTGGAGACAAAGCATGGCAGTATGGAAAGATATAAGTCAGGGGCCCTGTGGCTTCCCGTTCTGGGCTCCCTGTGCCGTTTAATTCGTCTCCCTGAGTGTCTTGTCTGCATGATGAAAAGATTGGATTGTAGATGAGATCATTCCAAGAGTCTGTGTTCTCTGTCCACTGTCAGATTTCTGATTTGTCCATAATATATGGCTATGATCTATTTTTCAATCTACAGTAAATGCACTCTTTTTTAAAAAAATTAGCCGCATACTAAACAAAAATATCCATGCATGTGTGTATACCTATGGAGATATATATATATATACACACACACACACACACACATATATATGTTATATATGATAAATTTGAAATGGTTATAAAAATAAGAAAGGTCTATCTGTGTATCTCCAGCACTAAATATGCCTCTTGCTGACTCGTACATTATTAAAGCACCATGTGCTTTAATCTCCACTTGGAGATTTGGGCTCCACTGGATTAAAGGGAGACCTCAGTCTCACCTAGGCATAAAACTCCTTGGAAAATTCGCCTTCCAATGGAGGGTGGTCACAACAAATAACAAGCGAAAGAGTAAGTGATGTGGTTCCTAACACCAGCTGTCATTTGGGTCAGAGTTTGGGGCTTTTGACTGAGCACAGGCATCACTTTCTGGACTTTGTGGTTAAATTAAGGGACAAAAGAGTGTTTAAAGTCCCTCTGGCCCTCAGTCTCTCCCTTGATTCAGTCACCATCCCCAGCAAAGTGTCCCTTCCCTTCTGTTAAGCATGCATTCCCTGAAAATAAGGCAGGCTCTGTCTGTGCTAGATTAGAGGAAATGTAATGTCCAGACTCAAGAAGGTTGGCACACTCGTATTCTCTGTGGTAGGAGAAGAAAAGTCTGCTGATAGGGAGTGTGTGAGTAAGTTAACAAGCATGCTGTCTTACGCCAGCGAGAATTTCAAGCCTATTTCTTAAATCTTGAGCCAGACCTTAATGGTTAACCCCAGTCAGCTCCCTTTTAAGAAAGCTTGCTACATTTGCAAACTTCAGTTAGTAAGAGTCCATTAGACTGGAAAGAGGATGACCACTGCCATCTTGAACCTGTGCATTGTAGCTTACAGCATTCTCAGAACTTTTACACACACCCCCGAACAGCCTGGTGGGACAGGAGTTGTTACTGGCAAGTGAGCCAGAGCCAAATGTAATGCAGCAAGAAATGCTGGTCATGAGATTTGACTGGCTCCATCCACAGGAAACCTAAAGCTCTTAACTGAGTCATAAAGCTCCCACACAGTGGTCCAACTTTCAACTCAGGACTGTGACGATCATCGAGGCAACTCTGGACTTCATCGTTTTGCTATCACACCTGTGAGGGGGACAGTGTGAGCGCATCCTGTCATGTTGTGGGTAGCATGGGCAGTGTTTACATCTTGGCTGCACACAAGGGATTCCCAAAATGTGGGTCACTAACTCTCTGCCTCAAAATCACTTGGGGTATCATTCCAGATATCCTGACTTTGTGTCCCTGGAGGCGGGCTTTGAATCTGCATGTGCAATGGTATTCCAGGTGATGCTTGGGATTCTGCTGTCTGTGGAGCAAGGGGATAAATGTGCTCGCTGCATGTGAAGGGTCTGGCTTGTGTTACTGCTTCAGCTCTGGGGGTGGGAAGGCTGTAATCTATTCCTTCCCTCTTCACCATTTTCGGGAGAACCCTTTACGAGTCTCTATCTGTTCCAGCTCATCTCAGATGGTGGGAGATGTGGAGATAGCATTAGGAAAGTAGTTTGATTTTCTTATAATCCTACAGTTCTGCTCTGGGCATCTTACTGTGGGGAGAAAGGTGAGCCCTAGATCTGGTTCAGCTGCAGCTGACTGCCTGGTGCATAGACTTCTCTTCTCCATGGAGAGTCAGAAGAGAACTTTCTCTTAATCTGTCCCTTCATCCATTCATCTATGCACCCATCCACCCACTCACTCACTCATTCATCTACCCATCCATCCATCCATCCATCCCTCAATCCATCCATCCTATATTAGTCTGGTTTCTCTAGAGGGACAGAACTAATAGGATATATATATATGTCTCCTGGCTGCACTGGCAGCTGATTAGATGGTGCCCACCCAGATTAAGGGTGGGTCTGCTTTTCCCAGCCCACTGAATCAAAAGTTAATCTCCTTTGGCAACACCTTCACAGACATACCCAGGGTCAATACTTTGCATTCCTCAATCCAATCAAGTTAACACTCAGTATTAACCATCACATATCCATTGTTCCTAATATGTATTTGGGATGTAAGAAAAATAAGACGTAGTCCTTGACCTTGAGGGGACTGAGTCCCCAGTTTAGACAGTAGCAGGTATATATAGGAATAAATGAAAGGGGCAATTGATTTCACAGACATTTGAGATGGCAATGAATATGAGATGTTAAAAAAAGGAACTGTCAAAATTATTTGACATTTCTTATAAGAAAAATTAAAAAACTCATCTCAGGTAATGCAGAGAAGCTTTTCAAGAAGGGCAAAAGACAAGTATCTTTTTATATTGTGTAATTCGCCAAAGCACAAGAGTTCTCTGAATTTAAGCACTTGTTTTTAGACATGTGTATGAGTTATTCTGCAATTGATTCCTTGCTAGCCCATGAGTTAGCACCAAGGTAGTTCATAATTATAGACACCAGGGCATGAATGATTATCTGTAATCACTCCTGCAACTTATTCTGAGCATTTATCTTTGACACAGGAATAGCAAACTACTATTGCAAGGTCAATTTTCAAGGAAAATTCTAAGGAAGAACATCTAAGAGCTGATTTTCAACTCTAGTCTCTGGTTCCAAAGCGGTGGATGGCCGTTGAGTTCCAAGCAAACCCCATGTTCCTTCATAGGAAGTCTACTGTTTCAATATTCTCTAATGACTAGTTTCAATATTTTCTAAAGAAATAGCATGTATTTACATTAAGACACCACCCAAGCATGCAGGGTTGAGTGACAGCCTTTTGTTAAATAACAATTCACAATTAAACAGATCAACTTACATGTGTGTGGTTTGACTTCAGAGTGGTGTGGTGGGGAGAAGTACAGTGCTGAATTAGGACCCTCTTGGGAACATCAGTGTCATTCCCATACTGTCCCTTTCTGTGATGATAAAAATGTTCTACATCTGTGGTGACTGAGCACTTGGCTAGAGCAACTGAGGCACTGAATATTTAATGACACGTATTTTTAATTAACTTAAATTTGAATTTGGATAATCATGTGAAGCCACGGCAGCTCTGGCTAAGACATGGTGGAAAAGAATCAAAATGGCTTTTTCCTCTCTCCTTCTCTCCCCACATCCCTCTTGCTTCCTGATTGCTCTGTCTCACCTTACCCTTTTGTCCTCTTACCTCCAACTACTGGGTAAAATAAGAGGCCAATGAACGCACTAAGGAAGGTGCCTCCTGAAAAGCATTGGAAAAAGCAATTACTGCGTAAGGAATAAATTTGAGGGTCAGGGAGTTGGATGGGGCTGGGGTGAAAAGCCATGAACTGTAGTTCCTTCAGAAGTGAGCCTCCCTCAAAATGTCCTGGTTTTCTTGGGCTCTGGACTCCCGGCGAGTGGGGACATGGAAGGGCGAACAAAACGTCTTTATTCCAATCTCGTCCGGCAGTAGTGCTCAAAAGTATTTCATGATTAAACAAAGGATGTCAAATGTGACCCCCACTATGCCAACCTTAGGGGATTGTTAGCCCAGCCCTGCCTTGTCTACCTCTCAGGGATATTAGAGACATTAAACAGCCAACACTTGAACTGGGTTACTAAGAAGTTGTTTACTGGCAGAAATAAGTATTGTGATGGAAGGTACTGTAGAGTATTGAATAACTAAACACATTGAAAGAAACTTGTCCTATGACCGCTTAGCTGTAGCAGGCTGAATAGTTATAACATTATTAGAAAACATAATGCAACTGGTAATGGGGCAGAATCTGGGATTCGAGGCAATGCCAGTATCACTAAAATATATTTTTTCTCCTTTAGACGCTGGAGGAGGCAGAAGTAGCTATCCAGTTTTTTTACCAGGCTTGGGTTTTTCGTTGCCTACTTGGGCCAAAGCTGCACTTGGACTATCAGGCGCCCTGCTCCTGACGCTGACGTGCGCCCTTACGATTCGCTGCTGCTGCCGCTGCTGCTCCTGCGGCTGCTGCTGCCGCTGCTGCTGCTGCTGCTGCAGAAGAAAAAGAGGTGACTTTTTTGTTCATTTAGATGTGTATGTACTTTTGAACTTTTGGTATAAGCAGTTGAAGTTAACAAACTCATCAGCTCTTTCAAAAGATAGGTGAACAACAATGTCACTTTCCCTCTGTTAGAATGCTATTATAAAAAAGACAAAAGATAACAAGTGTTGGTGAAGATGTGGTTGCACTGTTGGTGAGAGTGTAAATTGTGACAGCCTTTATGGAAACAGTACGGGGGCTCCTCAAAAAATTAAAATAGAACTATCGTATAATCCGGCAATCCCACTACTGAGCTACGTCCAAAAGAAATGACATCTTCATATTGAAGAGATATCTGCATTCCCATGTTCATTACATCACTGTTCACAATAGCCAAGAAATGGAATCAACCTGTGTAGATCAGTAGATAAAGAAAATGTGGTATACAGACACAGTGGACTACTAGTCAGCCTTCAGAAAGAAGACAGTCTTGTCCTTTGCTACACCCTAGAGAAAGCTAAAGGACGTTATTCTAACTGAAATAAACCAGACACAGAAAGACAAATATTGTATGATCTCGACTGTAGGTGGAATCTAAAACAGCCAAGCTCATAGAAACAGAAGGTAGAATGGTGGTTACGCGGGAGTGGGAATGGGGTTGGGGAGATGTTGGTCAGAGGGTACAACGTTTCAATTAGACACGAAAAATAAATTCTGTATATCTATTGTACAGCATGATGACTGTAATTAATTATAATGTATTGTGTACTTGAACATTGCTAAGAGAACAGATCTTATTCTCACCACAAAATAGTGAATATGTGAGATGATAGATATATGAATTAGCTTGATTTAATCATTTCACAATGGGTACACAGCTCAAAATACCACATTGTACACTGTAAATACATATAATTGTTATTTGTCAGTGCATTTTAATAAAGCTCAGAGAGACAACAACAGTAACATAAAAACCAAAACAAAAGATGCATCGGCTTTAAGAGTACTTGAAAGGGATGGCAGCAAATTCTTAGAGAAGAAAAGGACTTTTTTAAGGAAGAGGGTTGCTTCCTTGGGGCTTGATGCAACCCCTCAGGAAGATTCAGATCTTCATGCTCTTGAAAAGATGATTGAAGTAGTGCCTTTCTCACCAAAGACACTGATTATTGGATTTTTGTGCTTATTTGTAAGGATATAGAACTATTACAATGTCATTTAGATGCTATGGTTTTTTTTAGACTCATATCTACATATCCGAGCACATTAAAACGTTGCTTCCTATTTTGAAGAATTTTAAATCTCCCTTTGTACGTGAATGTTGATTGAGTGGTAGAAAGAAAAATAAGATCTCCTGTTAATAAAAAATAGTACCCATACAATTAATAAAAATAATTCCATATTTCTTTAGAACGAAGTTCTCTGAGATACTCCCACATTCTATGAAAGCAGTAGCCTTGCTTGGGGTTGGGATCAAGGGTGGGGTGGGCACATGAACACTGGGTGGGCTTGTCGTAGAATTAGGCAGTTTGTGACTTCAGAGGCCTACGGACGCTTTATCATGAGAATGCTCCAGGACCTTCCGTGTGCTGAATGTGTGTATGTCCTTACTTTTCTTCCTTTGGTTAAAAATGTCATGTACTGCTATTTGAACATTTTCTTCAGTTAGATTATTTTTCTTAAGATCAGAGTTTTGATGTTAGCTTACATGTCAGTTGACCTACATTTTAAGTTTTATTAACACTAACTGCCACTCAATGTGTGTGTGTAACTTTGTGTGTGTGTGTGTGTGTGTGTGTGCCAGGCACTGTGCTAACTCTTTTACATGGAATATATCACTAAAATGCATGGTCTAGCCTTAACTAAGCTAATGGTCTAGACTTAGCTCCTCTATGAATTTGGTTTGTGATTGGGTGATTCATTCTGCAGTATAACTTAAAATAATTTCAGACACATGAATATTTTCTTATATTCCCTTCTTTCTTACATGAAAGGCAGGACACTACAGATATTCTTTTGCATATCAATCCATGTCAGTTCATTGAGATTCTCTTCCTTTCTTATTACAGTTGCATGGTAATCCTATTGTAGATGCACCGTGGTTTATTCAACCATTCTCCAATATGTGAGCATTTAGATCATTTTCGGTATTTTGCAATTATAAGCAATGTTGCAATGAATAACGTTGTGTATATTCATATTTATGGAAATGTAGTTTTTGGGTAAAATCTCAGAAGTAGGATTGCTAGGTCAAAAGCTAAGTGTATATGTAGTTTTGTCATGGATTGCCAAATTTCCCTCCAGAAAGTTGTACTATTTGCATGCTTACCAGCAACACATGAGAATTCCTGATTCCCCACAGCCTGACCAACAGGGTGTCACCATAGTGTTTAGGTTATGCCAATCTGGAAGGTAAGTAAATAAGAAATGGTATCTCAGCATAGTTTTGATTTTATCTTACTATAAGTGAGGTTGAACTACTATTCCATCTTTTTGTATGATTGAGAACAGTTTTTATATGTTTTTATAACTTGTCTATGTGTTTTGCTCATTCTTTTCTCTCTCAGATTTTTGGGCTTTTTACTTCCTCTAGTTTTTTTTTTCCCCCATTTATTTATTTTATTGCATTTTAGGTTTTGGGGTACATGTGAAGAACATGCAAAATTGTTGCATAGGTACATACCTGGCAGTGTGATTTGCTGCCTTCCTCCCCATCACCTACATCTGGCATTTCTCCCCCTGCTATCTCTCCCCAGCTCCCCACCCCCCACCGTCCCTCCCCTATTTCCCCCCAACTGACCCAGTGTGTAGTGCTCCCCTCCCTGTGTCCATGTGTTCCCATTGTTCAACACCCGCCTATGAGTGAGAACATGCGGTGTTTGATCTTCTGCTCTTCTGTCAGTTTGCTGAGAATGATGGTTTCCAGGTTCATCCATGTCCCTACAAAGGACCCAAACTCATCGTTTTTGATGGCTGCATAATATTCCATGGTGTATATGTGCCACATTTTCCCTATCCAGTTCCTCTAGTTTTAAGATTTTCTTTTTATGTTAGGACTGATGGCCCCCTTTATCTACATTTTGAGTCATAGGAAATCTTTTGTTATATAGCAGTTTTTTTTTTTTTCTGGTGCTTATATTTTATATGGTTTCATTTATTTGTCTTTATAGGTTTCATTCATTCTTCTGTGTGTATGTTGTATGAATCTAATTTTGTCTTCTTCCAAATGATGAAGCAGTTATCCCAGCAGCATTGACTGAAATCTCTGTCTTTGGCTTGGTGGTTTGGGGTGCCACCTTTATCATATACCGATTTCCATATGCACTTAGGTCTCTTTCTCGGTTCTCTATTCTGTTCCATTGGTCTGTTGGCCTATTCATGAACTTACACTGCACCATTTTAATTATAGAAGCTTTACAGTATGTTTTAATGTCTCTTCAGGCAAGTCGGCCTTGTGGCTTTCCCTTTTAGTATTCTCCTGGCTAGTTTTGCATGTTTATTGTTAAAACTTGTTTATTTTTAAAAATTGTGACAAAATCTGTATAGCATAACAATTTCCATTTTAACCATTTTTGGGTATACAGTTCAGTAGCAATAAATACATTTAGACTTTCGTGCAGCCATCACTACCATCCATCCACAGACCTAGGTTCATCTGGCAAAATAAACTCTGTATCTATCAAACAGTAACTCCCTATTCCTCCTTTCCCCCTGTCCCTGGCTACTTTCTACTTTCTACTACCATGATTCTATTTTCTATCTCTATAAATTTGACTACTCTAAGCATCTTATATAAGTGGAATAATGCAGTATTTGTCTTTTTAAAAGTGGGATACAGAGTGATATTTTGATATGTGTATATAATGTATCAATGATCAAATGAGGGTAATTATATCCATCATCTCAAACATTTATAATTTCTTTGTGTGGTAAACATTCAAAATCTCCTCTTCCAGACTTTTGAAAACACAATACTTTATAGTTAACAATATTCATCTTACAGTGCTGAAGAACACTGAAACTTTCCCTCCTATCTAGCTGTAACTTTGTGTTCATTAACCAAACTGTTAATGAACATATGATTCCACCATAAAACAGATGAGCCCTGGAAAGCATTGTGTTAAGTGAAATAAATCAGGCAAAAAAAAAAATTTTTTTTTGAGCACATTGAAGCATGGATTATAATTGTGGGGGTCAGAGGCTGGGAAGGGGAGATAACATCTGATTCCAACAATTACAATCTCTGCCTCAATGTGTTCAAACTTTTTTTAGCTCCCATATGTGAGTGAGAACATGTAGTATTTATCTTTCCATGCCTGACTTATTTCACTTAATGCAATGCCCTCCAGGCTCATCCATGTTGCTATGAATGACATGATTTCATTCTCTTGTATGGTGGGATAGTATTCCATTGTGTACAAATGTCTATCCACTCATCTGTGAATAGACATTTAGATTGATTGCATATCTGAGCTATTGTGAATAGTGCTGCAATAAACATGGGTGTGCAGATATCTCTTTGACATACTGATTTCAATTCTTTGGGATACCCAGATTGCCAGATTGTATGATAGCTCTATTTTTAGTTTTTTTTTTTTTTTTTTTTTTAAACCTTCATACTGTTTTCCACAATCACTGTACTAATACACATTCCCACCAGTAGAGTATAAGGGTTTCCATTTCTGTGCATTCTCACCAGCATTTTTATTTTTTGTCTTTTTGATAGTAGCCACTGTAACTAGGGTGCGATGATATCTCATTGTGTTTTTGATTTGCATTTCCCTGATAATTAGTGATGTTGAACATTTTTTCACACATCTATTGACAATTTACATGTCTAAGAGGACATTTAAATTGAGAAATGTCTGTTCAACTTATTTACTCATTTTAAAATTGGATTTTTTGTTGTTGCTGCTGTTGAGATGGTTGAGTTCCTTGTATAGTCTGGATATATTAATCCCTTATTGGATGAATAGTTTGCAAATATTTCCCCCCATTCTATAGATTATATTTTCACTGTTGATTGTTTCTTTTGCTGGGCAGAAGCTTTTCAGTTTAATTTAGTTCCATTTATCTATTTTTTCTTTTTGTTGCTGGTGATTTTGAAGACTTAGCTATAAAATCTTTGTCTAGGTCAGTGTCCTGAAGGATTTGTCCTATGTTTTCTTCTAGCAGTTTTATAGTTTGGTGTCTTATATTTAATTCTTTAAGTTTGAATTTGTTTTGTATCCACTGTGAGTTTACTTTTTTATATGGTAAGAGATGGGGTCTAATTTCATTTTTCTGTGTATGGATATCCAGTTTTCTCAGCTATATATTGAAGAGGCAGCCTTTCCCCAATGTATGTTCTTGGCAACTTTGTAAAAAATCAGTTGGCTGTAAATACATGGATTTATTTCTAGGTTCTCAATTCTGTTCCATCTGTGATATACCTTTATTCTCTGGGAAGCAGAAATTAAAAGGCAGTAAACTCCTGTTGGACCTAAATTCGATGGGAAATTGTTTTTACCTGGGAATTATTCCATGTGCCGTAGATGGGTTAATCTAAAGGAAGACACTGGATTTTAAAGGAAAACTACTAAATGACTTAGATTTTAATAGAGATGTTACAAGAGCTTGCTCAGTACCTTCAGATCATTACTTCCAACATGAGCTATGTGGAGTAGCTGGAGAAATTCTGGTTATTTGTACATCCTGGTCCCCTTCAGCTTTTGTCTATTTTATTCTAGTCTCATAAGAAGACTAACTAATTGTTGTTGGCCTACACGAGATATGAAGGGTGTGATTTTTAGTTTCTTCATTTATGGAATGGGAATAAACGCTATCCTATAGATTGGTTGTAATAATTAAATAAATTAGTATATTAAAAGTTTCTGTGATCCATCTTAGATTTAATATTTTCTTTAAGACTGGGGTTGGTGGTTCACACCTGTAATCCCAGCACTTTGGGAGGCCAGAGCAGGCGGATCACCTGATGTTGGGAGTTCAAGGTCAGCGTGATCAACATGGAGAAACCCTGTCTCTACTAAAAATACAAAAAAAAATTAGCCAGGTGTGGTAGTGCATGCCTGTAATCCCAGCTACTTGGGAAGCTGAGGCAGGAGAATTGCTTGAACCTGGGAGGCAGAGGTTGTGGTGAGCTGAGATCACGCCATTGCACTCTAGCCTGGCAACAAGAACGAAACTTCGTCTAAAAAGCAAAAAAGAAAAAAGATATTTTCTTTAACTTTGAGATGAAAAGCCCATATATGAATGAACTGTACCCCCTCTCTGCCCACCCCAGTCACAGTAAGTCCAGACAAGGCTATGAACAGGGCTGCCAAAGCCTACTTACAGTGCCCACCTTCCCCACCAGGTGTGATTCACAGTGGAAATTATACTATACCTTCACATAAGTGTGAAGCATGAGTAAAGGTCTGGATTTCTCCATGATGATTATTTCAATGCTTAAAAAATAATAAACATCAAAATTTTTCAGAAAGTATTTTCTGGTTCTCTGCTACTACCCAGAGATTTCTCAGTAAGCTGACTGGTTAACTGACTACTCAGGAATGGCCGAGGTTCTACTTAGCCTGGCCTGGGGGCCTTGGGATGGCAGCATTCTAGAGGGACCCCAGGCTCCTTTCTTATAAATTGTCCTTACACTGGGGACATTGGAGGCTTTCCCCTATTGCTGGAGGGCATTTACCTATTACCTGATAGTCTCTTTCCTGCAATCCAGATAGAGTTGTTTCAGTTTGGGATGTAAATTGGCAGCTGTTGTTAGAACTGAAAACAAGTGAGAACGTTGTCTAAAAACTAAGGAAAATGAGTATTTAAAAAATCTTAGTCAAGCTTGATATATAGAAGACCTGGACAAAAAAGCTTGGTTGTAAAGATCACAGGCTTTTGGGACAAAAGTTTGGGGACTCAACCTGTGGCTTTTTACTCTCCATCTTCAAATTCTAGTTTCTTTCTGGTCAGTTCGTGGATCCATTGACTAAATCCATTGACTGAAAATATTAGCAATTTAATGACAGTGTTTTTTTTTGGTGGGGGTGGGGGCACAACTGTATGAATTGATACCTTTGGTACCTATTGATTGAAAATGTATCTTTGAATTAAAGAAATATGGTAATATTAATATATTAGTGTCTAGTCTGTTAAAAATATAATATCAATAACCCCTACTTTTGAGTTATTGTAACAGTTAAATGAGCTAGTGCTTTGTACAGAGCCTGCGTGGTGCTGGCACACAGTAAGAACTAAAGGGCAGCAATGATTGGTAACACAGGACATCTCTTTTTGGTAAATGGAGTCTTTATAATCTCACTAATTAAATTCAATATTCACGAAGCAATAAGTAAATAACCTCTCAGTACCTGAAATATAGTAAGTACTGTATAGTCTATATTTCAGGTAGATAGAAGTTATTTATTTTTCTAGTAGTTAGCAGTGAATTCTACTTTCCTATGCCTAGAAGTCACTTGATAATTTGGTGTGGGATAACTTAGTAATATCCTTTGGGTCACAAATACTAATGTTAGGTCATTAAAATAAGGGAGCCTATAAAAATTAATGAGACTCAATTTTTAGAATAAGTATCCTGATTCTTCTAATGTAATTTTGTTCTTTTTTGCAGGAATTCGCATTCAATTTCAAAGAAGGTAAGTTTGAAAGCACACCTATTTTCTGAAAACAAAACAAAAAAACCTGAACAACAACAATAATAACAATACCTACACAGAGCTGAGGGCTTTTCAGATTTATGTTATTTAAAATTAAGTACTGTAAGTAGGCAACACTGAAAAACACTTATGCCAATCACAAACCCATAGGGCAACATTGATTGTGGAGTGAAGCAGGCGGTTTGCCACTGCCTACCTTTGACTTGCTCTGGTTCCTTAGGGAAACGGAGATTTTCTTAGTGTCTGGCATTTGCAACTCTTTCCACAAGAGGACACTGTGCACCAGGACTATCATCCTGCCTGCTTTGGGCAGAGGCCGGGGCCACCAGCAGAGGTCCTGCTGGGATTTATGGGGGCGTAGAGAGCAGTGAGCCAAGCCGGATGCCTGCAAGGCACCTGAAACTGTCCAGGCAGACAAATTAGGCAGTGTTTGGTGCTCATTCAGCCAAGGGGAGCGGACAGGACTGAAAAATTCCTTTCATCCCCAGGCTGCCCAGCAGTAGCTGCAAGCACTTTTAAGGTAACTATGTCAAGGACTTGGAATAAGTAGCCAGTAGCCCTTTTAAATGTCTGCAATATTAACATAGCCATATGTGCACCAGCGGGATGGTTTTTTAGACAGCCGTTGTTTGCTGTGGATAATATACCAACACATGTAGTTATCGGTATTTTATTAGAATATTTACGTTTTGAAGTGCTGAGTTCCTACAGTACGCTTTGGCTACATTCTGTGAATGAATGTGCACAATCACCTGCAGCAAACTCTATCCCTTCTCCCTCTGACCCCAGCCATGGTGAAGGTTGGAGAGAGGATTCCAGAAAGCAGCAATCTGAAAATATCTCCCTTTGAGGCCTGACCTGGGGCAAGGAAAGAGGAAGAAAAATGGGCCCTGATAATTATTCTGGCATTTCTCTTGATTGCTACTACCGGCAGAAGGGAAGCCTGGACTCTTGGTTCACTGTTGTTGACTGTGCCAACATCTTTCATGTCTGTTCTCTGGGGTCTTAGGTGATTTGAAAGCACAGTAAAGTGAGCAATAGCTACTCAGGATAATGGGTAGAGAAGAACGACAACTAGAGAATAATGACCCTGGGAGCGTGAGAATAGCTAGCATATCTTGAGTGCCTAATGTACACGCCAGGTACTCACTGCTCTACACTTTGTAGGGTTTTTTTTTGTCAGAATGTGAACTGGGCAGACCTGCCTCAGGGTTTGGGCCCTTCATCTGTCTGTAGCCCTTGAACTTAGGCCAGACTGCATTAGGCCCCAGAGGGACAATGGGGGTTGCCCCCTGGATAATCCAATCCCACTTGCTTTCCTCTTTCATGGTGTCCATGGTGCTAGCTCCAGCGCTCAAGGACTTCTTTTGCATAGAAATAAATAAAATATCGATATGTGTGTATTTGTGTATATATATACATATAGTTGTATGTTATAGAAAAAAATCAATGCATGCTTATTTTAGAAAAAATTAAATATAATGACAGGTTAGAAAAATCACCCACACTGCTATAGCTCCAAAATAATTACTGTTAACTAAGTATGTATGTATCTACATGCTCAAGCGTTCATAGATATACTCATTGATGTGCACACAAAGCATTTTGTGAAATTTAAATGATAGTAAACACTATTTCATAGCTTGCTATTTTCACTTGCATATTCTGAAGATTATTTCTGTTAACAAGTACTTGCCCACAGCATTTTTGTCTTGTTTGATAGTTTTAGATAGAACTATATTATAAGCATGGAGAAGTGCACAAGTTACAGGTGTGTAGCTGGATCACGTTTCACAAAAAGCACAAATGCCTGGGCTTGATGGCTGAAATTCACAGCCGGAACATCCTTAGCATCCCCAAAGCGCCCTAGACCCTCGTCAAATGGTGGCCTACCCCTCCTCCCCAAAGGTGACATTCTCTGACATCTTGTCCACTTCCCCAGAGATCAGGTGCATATTAACTGCATATCTGTGGTATCATTTTGTGTACAGTCACTTATGTCTGCCTTTTTGAGCCTCTCACTCTGAGACTGATCCATACTGTGGCACGCGGGTGTCAGTGTTTTATTATTATGTAATAATATTACATTTGGGGCACATAGGGAATTTATTTTTACCTTTTGCTTTAAATGGGCATTTGAATAGTTTTCAGGTTGGGACCAATACAAACACTAGCTCTCTGGCCAGGCGCGGTGGCTCATTCCTGTATTCCCAGCACTTTGGGAGGCTGAGGCGGGTGGATTCCTTGAGCCCAGGAGCTTGAGAGCAGCCTGGACAACATGGAAAAGCCCCATCTCCACAAAAAGTACAAAATTAGCCAGGCACGATGGCGCTTGCCTGTAGGCCCAGCTACTCAGGAGGCTGATGTGGGAGGATTGCTTGAGCCCAGGAGGCAGAGGTTACAGCGAGCCAAGATCACACCATTGTACTCCAGCCTGGGTGACAGAATGAGGCCTTCTCACAAAGAAACAACAACAACAAAACAGTAACTACTCTGAGCATTCTCGTAGGCGTCTTTTGGTGAACATAAGTACTCATTTCTCTTTGGTTCTGTGAGGAAATATAGTCGGCCCTCTGTATCTGCAGGTTCCACATTCGCTGATTCAACCAACTATCGGTCAAAAATATTTGAAAAAAATACAACAGTAAAAAATAATACAAAATAAAGAAGCAGTACAGTAGAACAACTACTTGCATACCATTTACATTGTATTAGGTATTATAAATAATCTAGAGATGATTTAAAGTAAATGGGAGGATGCACGTCGGTTATATGCATACGCAAATATAACACCATTTTATATCAGACTTGAACATTCCCAAATTTTGGTATCTGCAGGGGTCCTGGAATCAATCCCTAACAAATACCAAGGGAGACTGTATCTAGTCCCAAAAGCTGGCAAGAAGGTAGCATATGTTCAGCTTTAGACGGTGCCACATTTTAGCAGAGAAGGTATACCAGCTTACACTCCCACCAGCAGTGCGTGAGAGCGCTCATATGTAATAATTTTGACACGCGGCATGGAATTCCATTTTAGAGAACTGTCGTCATTTATTTTACTGGCCCTTCTCGGGCACTTGGTTGTTTGCAGTTTGCCTTTATAAGTAGCTCATGAATCGGCATTCTTTCAAGTACATATTTGCACATATCCTCGATTGTTTCCCTAGCATACATTCTTGGAGGTCGAGTATGACTATTTTGAATTCTTTGGCTATCCATTGTCAGACTTCCTTCCAGCCTCCAAACCCTAGGAGGCTGCACCAACCTTTGCCTTATTTCAGGAATTGGCACAATTTTTACATAAAGGGCCACGTAGTAAATATTTTTAGTTTTGCCAGCCGTATGGCCTCTGTCACAAGGACTCAACTCTGCTGTGACAACAGGACTATGGCTACTTGTTTAGGTAGCCATAGACAATATGTGAGCTGACTGGTGTGGCTATGTTCCAGTGAAACTTTATTTACACAAACTGGGTGGGTCAGATTTGGCCTGTGGGTCCTGTTTGCTGACTGTTGCTTTATTTGGTGAATGGTTTCTGAGAGTTGAGCACCAACTGGGGAGTGGGGTCCACAGGCCATGATAAACTTTCATGTCTCCCCATAACGGGAATGTGTGAATAGGCAGGTGTCTATACCTGCCACACAGAAGCCAGCGACAGAGCTATAGGCTTCCTGTGTTAAGTTCAATGTGTAAACATACTCTTGAGTGTAGCCATGTGAACCACGTAGGTATCCATTGCCAATGAACGCTTGGCAATGTTCATGGCAACAATTAACATGAACATAAAATGGTCTAATTGCAGGAAATCTGAAAAAGAGAAGGATAAAAAAGAAACGGAGACAAAATGTGGAAATAAAAACCCTGACGGCAGTTCGGATGAACCGAAGGCCACAGGTGAGTAGACATGAGGGGCGCCAGATGAACTGAAGGCCACAGGTAAGTAGACACGAGGGGCGCTAGAAAGACCTGGAAAAGGGGCAGCTGGAAGAAGGGCTGGCTTGCTAGATGCCAGCTGCACAGGGAGGATAACTGAGCAATGCTGATTATTATTTTTTGGATAAATTTTAGAAGAAGAAATTCTAGAACAAGGAATATTCTAGTAGGTTAACACTAAAAACCCACCTGTTTGTCTAATGCTTAAAGTATGGAGGAACATTGAAAGCTTTAAAAATTTTTGTTTTTTCCCCATGGTTTCTTTTTTGTTTAAACCCCTCTACATTAAAATATGTCAGGGGTAACTTCCTCCCAATTTCAACTAGAGTCAAGTAAGAAATCTGTTCCCCTGGAATATAACAGCTGAAAAGTAGACCCACTTTTGGAGAGTCTTGCTGTAGCATCTCATTTTCTTGCCATGAGACAGTACAGAGTGATAATGGGGTGGGGGCACCTCTAAGACAAACATCACCAGGAAGCAGCAGCAGTCGAAATTTGAAAGTCGATGAGAGGGGAATGCTGAACACACCCTCCTCTGCAGGATGAAGGAGACACCTGCCCTCACCGGCTGCCAGGAAAACCAAATTCCGTGGGAAGGTTTTTAGCCAATCAGTCCTTGCTGAGGGGCCTACACACCTTCTTTTTCCACTAAAATTGGGGCTCTACTTTTGGCAGCCACATTTTTTTTTTCATTTTACCATGGCTGCCTCCTATGTGTATTACAGATTGCATCTTTCAGATTTAAAAAAATTCCAGAGAGCATGGACTATTTCCTTTGATAATCTGACCACAGCTTCTTGTAGTTTCCTGTTAGTGAATATGTATTCATTAGTATTTTGAGCAATTAATTATCTCGATGATAATCATGGCCCAAATCTAACATCTCTGTCTTTTTTATCTCCATTTGTCTGCCATTTATTGTCCTCGATCAGCTACTGGAGCTTTAGATCATTTTGTCTCTGGGTGAAACTAATGTGTCGAGAAAGAAATTGATTTTGAGTTAGTTCTCCATATTTTTATTTCTTTGAAAAAATAGAGTTCTAAAGGTATGCGATCTCAAGGGGACTTAAAAAAAAGTATTCATGGTGAAAGATTATGCTAGGGGTACTACTTAAAAGCAAATATGTTTCTTTATAAATCAGAATTGTTAGACCACTTGGTTTTTGCCACTTAATACCCTAAAATTGTTCTTCTGTTGCAGAAACTGATTCTCTCCCTCCTAAATCCTGTGAATCCAGTGATCCTGGACAAAGAAGCAGTAGCTGTGCCCCCCCTCAACAGGTGATTTAGACCATTATCCCTCCTTTTGGAGTTTTTTTTGCCATTTAAAAATTCTTATCCTGTGGTGGGTGATTATAAAACGGTGCACGTTGTATATTCATGATGGTGGTACATGGCCTTTCCTCCCCTCCACATCAACTGGTCAGCGTGGAAACGGGGCTGAGACATGGACCGTTTCTTGCTCTCAGTAGTGGTAGCTCCAGGATCAAGGCTGGTTTTGGGGAACAGCTCTGTGTTCACATTTTGGGAGGATGTGACTTGATTTGGGACATGCCCGTCTGAGTTGGCATAAGAGTGAGCAGCATATATAATATCCCATTTATTCTCTTCAAGCCACCTTCTCCCAGGACTCAAGTCCATTCTGCTCTCCTGGTTACCCGGCTCCCACGTGGTACTCATCTGTACTTGGACCTTTGGGGTCTTTGGGCTCATAGAAGGATGTACTGGGTTTGAGGATCAGGACAGAGAAAATGTGGTTTGCTCTGCATGCAAGTTCTATGCTGGTAAGCTTGAGGGCTGAAAAAATCCTGTTGGAGTTAGAATTTTAGGGGAGAGAGGATGAGTCCTTGATGATTAAGGAATATGGCCAGAACTGCTAGAAGGCTGGAGGTGCCATTGACTTAGAGGTATGTTATATGTGGAGCAGATTAGGGGGGAGGCTCAAACATCTAATTTGGAGCTTGTAGATTCTGAGGCCTCTTTGATGTCCACATGGATATGCTGAATGTGTAGTGAAATTCACCAGTCTGCAGTTCCAGGGAGAGATACTAGCTGTCGATACTGGTTGGCTGCTTGGCAATGTTTTGATGGGAGCTTTTTTCACACGATGCTTCACTTAAATAAAACAGTCAACTGGCAGCCCTGAGGACTTAGTATGTTAATTTGCTGGTGTAGAGTCAGCATTGGTTATCATACATGAATGAATTAGAGTTTGTTTTATATCCCAAATAATAAATTAGGTAGAATATTTATAATCAACACCCTTTTCTGACCTGCACAAATACAACTGCGAACAAGAAGTATTTCAAGGCGATTCTGTGATTGTGTCCCTAACAAGTATAGATGTTATCTTCTTTTACCTTTTGGAAAAGGCAAACTTGCAGACTGGGTTTCCGATAGCACACTGGGCCAGGTGGGTTGTATTTGTTCTGCTAGGAGCTGCTTTACCTGAGGGGACGGTGCCCAGCAGGTACCTGTGTGGCCTCTGATGGTTCTTTCTTGGCACAGGTATTTACCTGAGTTTCCAGGCAGCTCTGGACAATAACATTCCTCCCTGCAATTGGGATTCAGCTCAATAACATACATCTTGCCAGTGATGTGTGTTTTTCAGGCCTGTAGGGAGGAAGGGAGCTCTGATTGATGCTCAGTCATGTACTGGAAAAACCTAAGTGATACTATTAATATTACTGTCAACATAGGTAGCCAGACAATAAGACATATGAGGGGTCTGGGGCATAAAGGAAGCTGTGCCCAAGTAACAAATTGTTAGCTCCTGGTACAAGTTTCAGTGACTTTCCTCAGGCTGGTGTCAGGAAAATGGAGAGGTAATGCTTTTTCCATCAGGGCTGCTCTCTTTGGCACGTATGTTTTGATGTATTTAGTTTGGAGCTGGAAGGGATGATGATGCAACAGGTTTGCTTTAGACGGACCAGCCTCTGAGTAAGAGGTGGCTGTGGAAGGGAGTAATTGCTGGGCTGTGAGCGATGTTGCATGTCACGTCTTCCATGACTGGGCCTGAGTGGGCGTTGCAAGCTAGAGAAGGGGCATGGCTGGCTGAGGGGCTCTCTCCCACCCCAGCTCTAAGCACGGACACCCAAGAGCACATTTAGGCCAACCATGATTTCCATAGCCCTTCTGTGGTTATCTTTGTCTATCAAGTGTGTTTCTATCAGACAAGCCAAAGTGTTCAGCTATGGGGTTGTGGGGAGGGTGTAAGTTGGGAGGAGATTCAGAATAGGTCATGCCACATCATCCTGTTTGAAATACGTCTAGTATGAATGAGGAGGAAGGGGAACGCTCGGTGCATTTGGATATCCGAGTGGAGAATGACATTTTGGAGCTCGGAGTGGATGCTTCTTGATGCTAGTAGTGTTCTTTTGAACATACACAGGGAGAGAAACTTAAGAGGTTTCTGCTACTGAAACATGTACCCAGCTAAATAATCTATTGGTGGAAAAAGAACAGTGACCCTCGAGGTGCTGAGCCCTGGGGACTGGTAACATATACTCCCGTTTCTTATTTCCTGAAAGGTTTGTCGTCTATCTAGGGGAGCCAGGCACCTCATCAGAGAGCACCCACGCCCTTAAGAAACAAATCAGGACTCTAGGAAGATGAATTATCTTGGCCTGGGCTAGAAACTAGTGAGGCTTATTAAATAACTGGCTCTTTCTACTCATAGTGTGCCTGAGTAACAAATCGTTAGCTTCTAGAACAAGTTCCAGTCACTTTCCTCCGGCTGGGTGTCAGGAAAATGGAAAGGTAATGCTTTTTTTCCATTTAGGACATTTAGGATTTAGGACAAAGTCCTAAACAAGAGATCTATCTTTGATTATGACCAAGGAGGGACTTTGCAGTCGTGGGCCCAGACATCACCTCCAGGTTGCCCATTTGGAGAACCTGGATGCAGGATTACCATGGCCGTGTTTCCCGGGAAGCACTTAGAGAAGGAATGAGCAAAATGGGCCACAGTGGAAAGGCTGGGCCTGGGAACACAACAGTTCCCTTCCATTTCCTCGGTCCAAAGAAGACATAGACCTTGTTGTGGTCAACTGGCCACTTGAGAGCTGCCAGAACGGCCAAGCCACAGCTTGTATGAGCAGTCAAGGTGATCTTGGCACAGAGGTTCTTTTTAAGACTCCCCAGAAGAGACCCTTCAGCCCTGCCAGGTCCCTGTTACCAGGTCCATGCTGTGTGGGCTGATGAGGAGCTGTGCGTTCTGAATTCCTTGGTCCAAGGTGTGAAGACAATGCAATGCGTGCCTTCTTTTCTCAAAACTTCTCTCCATTCTGCAATAAGCCTTGTTCCTTGTAGGACCTAGGAGAGGCAGCTGAGAGCTATTCAGAGCCCCATCTCAGTTTTCCTTTCATCTCCCCCTCCGCAGGCCTCAGTATGGCTCCAATTTGTCAGAGTCTCCTGCACCGGGGCCGGATGTTCTGTGCACACAGGCCTCCCAGGCCCAGAGCTGGTGCCCAGCAGGGCTCCTGCGTGAGAAGCTGGCTTGTTAGGGTTCAGGATTGTTGACTACAGATTGCGCTATTTTGCAGAAACCCCGCATGAAGCTCAGGTCCTGAAAAGCTTGTAGATTAGACTAAAAGATCTCAAGCTGTGAGCCAGCCTGAAGCAAACGCTTTTCCGATCGTGGTTGCTGAAGAGATAGTTGGGTCAGATAAATGGCCTGTCCGTGGAGACACGGCACACTCAACAGCAACTAAAGCTGATGCTTTGTTTTCATAGATCGCAGAGCAGGATAGTCTTGGTTTTGTGAACAGTATGGCAACTGCTGATCACAGACACTCTCTGTTCATGCTGTATTCTCTGCTGAAACTAGTGATCTGTTTACACTCAGCATTTTCAGGAGGTCTTAACTAACGGTTGACTGTTGACTACACACAGGCTAGTCCAGTATTTCTAGGTGCTGAATAAACAGTTACTCATTAGAGTGGAGAATACCTTCCATGCCCAGCATTATGCTGTCACAAGCAAGATGCTATAAGATACATGGATGTTCAGATAAATAAAGTTCCTTTGCTTTTTTTTTTTTTTTTTGGATGGAGTTTTGTACTGTTGCCCAAGCTAGAGTGCAGTGGCAGTGGGGCGATCTCAGCTCACTGCAAACTCCGCCTCCCGGGTTCAAATGATTCTCCTGTCTCAGCCTCCCGAGTAGCTGGGATTATAGGCACCTGCCAGCATGCCCAGCTAATTTTTGTATTTTTAGTTGAGATGGGGTTTCACCATATGGGCCAGGCTGGTCTCAAACTCTTGACCTCAGATGATCTACCCACCCCAGCCTCCCAAAGTGCTGAGATTACAGGCATAAGCCACTGTGCCTGGCCTCTTAAAAAAAAGTTTGAGGCATGGTCTTTGTTGCCCAGGATGGAATGCAGTGGCATGATCATAACTCACTGTAACCTCATATTCCTGGGGCTCAAGGGATCCTCCTGCCCTGGCTTTCCAAAGAGCTAGGACTACAGGCACTTGCTGCCATGCCTGGCTAATTTTATTTATTTACTTATTTTTGTAGGGATCGGGGAGGGGGAGGGTCTCATGTATTTGCCCAGGGTGTTCTTAAACTCTTGGCCTAAGCGATCCTCCACATTGGCATCCCAGAGCACTGGGATTAGAGGCATGAGCCACTGCACCTGACCCCAACTTCCTTTGCTCTTAATCCCAATCAGCTATGACAAAAATATGGTTAGATGACTACAGATGAATGTTCAACCTAAAAATAACCTCATGTTTTGGGCCATTGAGAAAAGTTAAATAATTTCATATCAAACTACCATTCCGCTTCTTTGTGATGGAGGCACTTTGGTTTTCTTCAGGGGCCCATTGCTTAAATATACCCCCAGGACGGGGAAATCTGACATGCCAGGGTTGGCCCACAGAAGTCACTGATGAGGCCCTTGGGAAGTCCAGGTTCACGGTCCTCACCTCTAGACATCAGGACTCAGAGGGTTGAGGAGCTGTTTAAGCAGCTCTGCTTTTTAGGACAACTTGATGTGGCTAGGCTTAAGAGGTATTGATTACCTTACAGGAAGAGGGGAGTCAGGAGTTTTGGAGAGGAAAGAGTGGCAGGTCCCCAAGCAGCAGTCTGCCTCCTTCATAACTTTACCCTGCCCGGCAGGTACTCAGCAATTTCGCTTTCTCAGCATCCTGAGGCCTTCATACTAGCCTGTGCTTACCCACCTGGAGGGGGCGCTACTGGGGTTGATGGTGCCTATGCTCTTGCCCCCTCTGCTGGGAGTCAGCTATACTTCCGCAAGGAGAGGAGTGTCTGGACCCTGGGTCCAGAGTCTGGGATGGCACCCAGCGCAGGTGGTGTACAGCGTTAGGAGGAGCAGCAGGTTTCCAGGTTACTTGTGCCCCCACCTTCAATGTCACAACCCTCCATCTCTTCTCCCCGAGTGGTGCACATCTGTGTCTATATCTCAAGCTTCCATGGGTCTCTGCATACGGAATCTTTGTGGTGAATCACCCAGCTCAACTTAATAACATCCAACAGTTACTAAAACAGGAAACTAGAACTTTAATATTTTAGGAAAGGACAGAGAACCCCATTTACTGCGGCCCCAGCCTCCCATAGCTCCTGCTGCTTTGGCATCCTTTCGGTTAAGATCTGGTATGCCACAGGCACACCCTGCCGTGGAGACCAGCAAAGGTGAGATGCAGTGCTGAAACCTTTTTTTCAAACCTTAATTATCTCCTAATGCTTTCAGTGCTGGGAGTCCTTAGAAAACTTCAGAAGGGTGGGGGCATGTCTCAGGAGCAGTGTCATGGGGGAACAGGCTGGGGCTGGAGTTTTGACCCAGCAAAGGCCAGACACTGTGGCCAGGAGCTATGGGGACAATGGTGGATAGGCCGGTTCCTCAGGAGGATGCTGGGTTGTAGACAATGGAAAGAGGCACCAGTTCCTAGACCTCTTAGTCCCCAGGCTGCCTGGAGCTCCGTCTTCTGCTCATCTCCATCTCTAAGCCCCCTCTCCTGCCAAGTTCTTCCCTGAATATGGGACTTTCCAATCAAGAAACGGGGCAGTCCTAGTTCCTGCCACCACCTGGCAGAAATGGTGGATGTATTTCCTGAATTCTCTATTCCGGTTTTCCCAAAGAATGCTTGCTGAGTATGGAGGTGCACCCAGCGCCTATAAATACCTCTGCCTTGGTACCCTGCTGGCGTAGCAGCAGCTCTTAGTACAGCCCTGTGCCAGGAGCACACTGGGTTCTTGTTAAAATGCACACTCTTGGGCCTCCGCCAGACTTTCTGGATCAGAATGTCTCGGAGAGAGGGCCAAAGAATCAGTATTTTTATCACAGTCTCCAGGTGATCTGCTTTGAGGAATTTTCTTTTTGTCCCAGTGTGAAAACACCACAGAGACATGTATAGCATTGTTTCTAAGGGAGTGCGTTCCCTGATTTCTAGAAGTCTTCCTACAACTGTGCATTTAGAATTACTTGTACCTGGTGTCTCTGCTCCACTGACCTTGCTGCAAAGCACAGAGAAGAGTTTGAGATGCTTATGGTGGTGCGGTATTGAAAGCCAAGTGAAGGGTCTTGACACCAAATGCTCTGCTGTCCACGTGGCATCCTACCAGGGACACTCTTATGTAAACCTCCCTTATTTTAGACAGATTCTAAAGCACACTGCATTCAACATAAATGAAAAAATAGGATCCTAGACTGTAGAGAGCTTGATCATGCATTAAATTGTAAGAAGGGTCGGAGGAAAAAAGAGATTGATTTTCAAAACTGACATATACAATATGACACTTTCCTTCTCTGATTATTTCTCCGATGACTCAATCTACAGTTAGAATATATAGTACTGACATTGCTTTCTAGACAAGAGTTCCCTGTTGGTGAAATATAATAAATTTGGGTGTAACTGCAGCTAAAATATGTTAGGGTAAAAGTAATAAGTAAAATTAGAAATTCTTACCAAAATTTACAGTCAGTTACTGGGAAAGGCATGCTTAAAAATTTTTATATGGAGCCAGGGATTTGCAAATGTTTTGTATCTTGGTGAATAGTTAAAACAAAGAAGCCTCCTTTTCCTCTCCTTGTCCTGTGCCTTAACTCACTGTCGGTGCATTTTTCTGGTTGTTTTAGGTAATTCTCTGTCTCTGTCATTTTTGGAAGGTGGGCATATGAACAAACTTGAAACCTGGATGAAGTCTTCCCCACAAGTCACCCCTTCATTGAGATAAACAGAAATACATGTTTGATAGATTCAAAAAGCAGCGACATTTGCACAACCCAGCAGTGAAAGCGAAAGCGAACAACAGTAAAAGTCTAGTATGTTCGTGGAAGAAGGCACAAATCTCACAGCATTGCTGACGTGGTTCCATCCACTGTCCAGTTTTCCCTGTGTTATTGGGAGTCAACAAATTAAAAGCATGAGCCAGAGTAATTCTACCATCAAGACTTACTAGCATTCCATCGCAACGTGAATAATTCATCACTCCCGGTTACATTATTTAAGATATTAAATGCAGCTACTGTGACCTGGAACCTGAGCTGCCACTCTCAGGACTGGCAGGAAAAACGTGTTGCACGCATTTTAATAGGGCAGTGTTATTAGACAGGCATGGGCCACTCTGAATTTCTGAATGAGAACAGGGATGACTGTGTTTCTCCCTGATAGGGAAAGGGAACAGATGCGTGATCTGTCTGGAGTCAGTTCTTCAAGTTTGTCCCCCTCTTCCAGAAGCAATGCATGCCCTTTAAGAAGTTTAAAAATATTTTATATTTTCATAAAAAATTTAGCCAGCAAAGCAAGAACTTCCATAGGAAAATTGAAAAACAAAACAAAACAATAAGTCATTGTGGTACTTTGCCTTAATAAAAACAAAAACTGATTCTTGGAATTGGATTGCTCTTTAGGGCCTGAACTTGGAAAACTTCTATATTGTGTGTTATTGGAAATAATGAAAGAAAGGAAGAGCTTATTTTAACATTTCTGTTCCTTCCTGCACCTTACTTTTATCTTAACAGATGAGTGAAGCTTCCTTTTCAAGTGTACATTTTACAGTGATCTCAACCCATTAAATTGACTTTTTTCCTCCTCTGTTGCCAGGAGGCTGATCAATGTCTGCCCAGGCCAGCAAATCATCCACAGGCTTCTTTTAATCTGGCCAGTCCTAAGGAATTCAGGAATACAACTTTAGTATAGCAAAGACTTCATCAAGCTACACTGAACACTTGGTTGACAATTTACAGCATGGTGACGGCATCCTTCCTTTCCATCCTGAGACTGGCCTGCAGCTCTGCCAACATTACCTGAACAGGAGATGTCGGAGTCATCAGAACTGATACTTGACAGTGAGAGAAGGAATCAATTTTCCCAGATTTCAAAGTAGAATGTGACATTTAAAAGGTTTCAAGGTTTCTGTGAATTCCATGAAGTTACCAAGTAAAAGCTGCAAATTCATCATAATTTTTCTCAACACTCGACACTCCCACTTGTTAATCCAACAAATGGTAGATAAAAGTCAACATTCTACCATCACTTTAAAAAGTTTTGATTATCTTAAAGCATATGAAGATGATGATATTTGTACATATTTAATATGCAGGGGTATACATATTATCAGTGAATTGTGAGTATAAAAATGAGGATCAACCAGAAGTCTACAGTTGACTCTCAAAACCGAGCTCAGTTAAAATAAGATTCAATCCTAATATGAAGATGCATGTTCCTTAATATCTCATGAAGTATTTACTTGAAGACATTCATTTTTATCTGTCCCTTATCAGACTTATTTGAATCTCCTCAAATGAATTACATGTGACTTGTGCTCTGTAGAGGGTGGACCTCACCTACTATGCATACCATGAAAAAACTGGAAATGGGCATTGTAGTCTTTAATTAATAAAAAGGAAAACACCAAAAAATGTGTATTGCCTTTCTTAACTCTTCACTCTTCAGGTGGTAGTTTAAAGAATCAGTGTTTAGGAATCAAGCCTTTTCCAAGAAGTAAACAAGAGCCTTCGGTTAAAACCCATCCCATCTTCACACTTATCTTTGCTGACTGTACATTTACTTCATCTAAAATTAACATGAATGTTGTTATGAAGAATGAATTGCTGCCTTTCCCGAATATTTTTCTTTTTCCATGTAGATACAGTCAGTGAATTTCACTGCCCATTTTACCCCTCATATTTAACCTAGAGGCAAGACTGTGATTTGACTGTGCTCTGAACTTATTGGTGCAGATTTCTATGCTGGTTATAATTAGCAACAGCTCTGAGCCCCTCAAGCTCAACCATGCTATTGCTAAAGCAGAATTTAACATTTAAAATGTGTCAGGATTTTAGTGAATTCCTTACAAATACTTAGTAATAGTTGCAAATTTGTCATGATGTTTCTCATCATTCGCTCCTGCTAGCTAATCCAGTAAATGGTAGTCTCACACTACCATGATTTATAAAATACTTTAATGATCTTAAATCAGTTTCAGCCCCTACCCAGGACCTTCCTGTAAACAAGAAACGAACTGAAGGAGTGTATGAGTCTGTTCTCATGCTGCTAATAAAGACACACCCCAGACTAGGTAATTTTATAAAGAAAAAGAGGTTTAATGGACTCATGGTTCCACATTGCTGAGGAGGTCCCACAATCATGGTGGAAAGTGAAGGAGGAGCAAAGACACGTCTTACATGGTGGCAGGTAAGAGGGAACTGCCCTTTATAAAACCATTGGCTCTCATGAGACTTATTCAGTATCATGAGAACAGCACAGGAAAAACCCACCCCTGTAATTCAGTTACCTCCCACTGTGTTCCTCCCACAACATGTGGGGATTATGGAAGTATAATTCAAGATGAGATTTGGGTGGGGAAACAGCCAAACCATATCAAGGGGTATTTTCTGGCACCCTGTGGAGCCAGGCATGTGTTTTGATTGGCTGATGCTCATACTATATTCATTCTGAGTGGTCAGTGCCCATACAATATCAATTCTAACTGGGTAGTGTTCATGCCTTACAGGTTGTCATCTATTTTGAATATCATCTCTGCTTAGAGGATCCTGAAAAAAAAAGGTCATCTCTTTTAGGACCATGTTCCTAATGTGAGAAAATTGGCTGTTTATATATATATATACATACATATATATATATATATATATACACATACATACAAGAGGTCTTTTATTTTTTTTTTTAACACCTATTATGCCATGAATTCATAGGGAATAGGTTCCAGCAGCTCAGGCTCCTTTCCATTGGCTCTCACAAAGTGTGCTTCTCTGGGTGGAGCAGGCTGGCGCTTCAGCTGGACCCAGGTAACTTTCTCTTTGGCTTCTTTCTTTTTCTGATCATTTTCCTTCACACGTTTTAGGAAGCTATCTCGGCTCTTAGAGTGCTTGATGTGCTCAATACGCACATTAATTCTCTTGGCAAGAATCTTGCCCTTAACTTGTTTGTTTACAACAATGTCAACAGCATGCTGGGTAACATTGTAGACTCCTCCAGTTTTGCCATGATAACATTTGTGGGGCATTCCTTTTTGAACAGTACCCATTCCCTTGATGTCTACAATATCACCTTTCTTATAGATTCGCATATACATGGCCAAAGGAACAACTCCATGTTTTCTAAAAGGCCTAGAGAACACGTATCGAGTGCCTCTCCTCTTTCCCTTTGTGTTCGTCATTTTGGCGAATTACTGGAAGATGGCGGTTCCGGCTGAAAAGCTATATTCTTGGAAGTAGAATTGAAATGCAAAATCTCAAAAACCCATAAATATTGCTATATCATATTCCCAAGAGTCTTTTCAAGGGAAAAAATTGCCAATTCAACTGGTTAAAAATGAGGCTCATTTAGTGTACTAATTTCTTTATTCCCTGCCAATGCAGTTCTGTTTTTCCACTACACTCCTGGAATGAATACAAGGAGAAGAGAAAGACAAGAAGGTTCTTGAGTCTCTTTAGGCAGAGCTAAAGGGTGAATGCCATACTCTTCACTTAAGAGTTTATGCTCTTTAAACCACCACAGAATTCGGATCCTAAGATAAGGCAAATGCCATGTCATTTATGCCTTTTGTAGCTTTTACAGCACCTGATATACTGCAAGTGTTCAGTAAATATTGACATCAAACAGGTCAATATTAAGAAAGGTTATATATTAAATGCAAGAAATATTTGTCATTTGCTTGCTATAAGAATAATATTTGCGGCAATTTTGAGAGTCAAGGGGATTGCATATAAAATATAATTGAAATTTAAGTTTTGAAATCTGGAGGACAATGGCAAATCATTTCCATAGAAGTTCCTCCAACTTACTATGTGCTTATGAGTCATACTCAAAATATGTTTTCATTTATCAGAATATGGGATTTTTTTTTTGTGGTGTCACTTATGAATAAATTCTTCCTACTGAATCTTACTCCAGGAGTAACGCTTCTCAAAGAGATGCCCTGGCCAGTATGTATTTCACATTAGGTAGATACATTATTTGAACAGAACTATCTAGAGCTGCCCTGTCCAATACTGTAGCCACACGGGGCTATTTAAATTTACATTATTTAAACTAAATAAAATATAAGATTCATTTTCTTGGTTGCACTGGCCACACTGCAAGGGTTCAGTAGCTCCGTGTGGCCAGTGGCTACTTTATCGGGCAATGCAGATGGAATTGGTGGGTTTCCATTGTTGCAGTAAGTTCTGCAGGAGTGCTCATCTAGAGATAGCTACTTGGAAATGACCTTGATGTGTCAAGCATGGACTCTTTTACATAAACTCACAATCCGTGTTTTCTTCAGCATTATGTCTGTGCACTCAGCCAGTTTCTATTTAGGAATCCTGCAATACCCAAGGCAGTTCTCAACCGAATATGGTGTTTTGCTGATGTGGTGAATTCTTATCTCACTTCTGCAATGCAGAGAGAGCTGTGGCAGACTCAGGAGGGTGGGATGAGAGGAGTCAATCAAAGTAAAACATCATGGTCAAGGTTGTTTCTCAGGAAGATACAGCTCTTTGCTAATAATAGGCGATGAAGGCTGCAAATTTATCTAAACAAATATCCCTCAAAGTTTTATGCCATAAAACTCTAGCCAGGGAAACCATACCTGCCCATCCCTCCCAGCCGTCTTTTACTTTGGTTGGTCTGTCAGATTCCAATGCATGCAGCCAAGGCTCTTCCATAGTTTACTCAGAGTAGGACCTAAGTATTCATGCCAATACCTTGAAGACAATGGAGAGCTTGAGAGCTTCCCCTGCTCTGTGTGGCCCTGAAAAACTGTTAGGGATGCTAAAGTTTGCTTGCACGTTCCTAAGAGTTTAATGACATAAAAAGGTCAATGGATGAGACTGGGCACGGTGGCTCATGTCTGTAATCCTAGTACTTTAGGAGGCCAAAGTGGTGAATTGCTTAAGGCCAGGAGGTGGACATTAGCCTGGGCAACCTGGCAAAACCCCATCTCTACTAAAAATACAAAAATTAGCCAAGCATGGTGGTGCATGCCTGCAGTCCCAGCTACTCAGGAGGCTGAGGCACAAGAATTTTTTGAACCTGGGGCGTGGAGGTTGCAGCGAGCTGAGATTGCACTACTGCACTCCAGCCTGTGCAACAGAGTGAGACTTCATCTCAAAAAATTTTTAAAAAATGGTCAAGGGATGGTTCAGAGCAAACAAGAGATGCCATGCCAGTACCTGAACCTGTACCTGTCATCAAAGTGCTTGTTGATATCGTTGGGGAAGAACACCATCCTCTGTAAAGAGGAAGGATGGTCCTCTCCGTGGGGCAGATGAGAACTTGTAGAGTTCAGAGATGGGAGAATCAGGTGAGAGCAGGACAGGAAGCGAGGGTTCAGGGGAAGGTAGTGTGAGGTGAAGGTCTGGATAGGCAGGTGGTTCAGCAGGCCCGGGCCATTCCTGTAGGCCTGAGGAGCTGTTGTCATCCACTGGACCAAGAGGGCAGGAAGAGATTGATGGAGCAGTGTGGAGAGGGCCTCTGACTGCTGCCGTGGCCACACCCTGAAAACCTGGCAGGGAGGGAGTCAGAGTGACAGGGATCCAGCCATCCACTCTCTCTTTTTGGTCACCTGCTCACACCTACACAACCAGAGCCAGAGGTCCTGGAGCCCATCAGCGTGGTTCATATGGGTCAGTCTCCTGAGGGGACTGTGCTGGATGCAGAAGGTGGGAGGGGCAGGCAGAGCATTTAGCAAGGAGAAATTGATGAATGGAGAATGTAAAGGAGATGAGAGGAGAATTAATGATGCATGTAAAGTCAGAAGGAGGGTGTTTTGCCTGGTAGTGCTGCACTGCTTACCTTTCTTAGGAATGAAGCCATTTACTGAGAAAGGTGTATGGGCCAAGAGCTCCGCTCACTGAAAATTTACTGAAAGTCATTGACAGGTTGCTGATGGGTAGGACAAAAGGCATACAAATTTATTTAATGTGTGTACAAGGGAGCTTTCAGAATGAAGACCCAAAGATGCAGGGCAAATTGTTTTTATGCTCAGACTTAACAATGTATGGACAACCATGCAAAAATATGATTGGACACAAAGGGCAAAACTTAATGCTAATAGACTGAATGGGGAAATCCAGCTTGACCTGTCTGTCTAGATTCTTCTTGGCTTCTCTGAGTATCATTCCTTCCCACTGGGTGTGGGGCAGGACTCACTCTGGAATGGGAGTCTTATGATCTGTAGCTAAGCAAGATAGGTCAGACAATTTCTTCACATCCAGTTTTTACGTAGAACATGTTTAAGTTTTATGGCTGGCTTTAGAGAAAAAAAAGTTCTAGTTTCTATGGCCTGCCTTGGGAGAGAGGGATTGTATTTTTAGCTAGCCTTGGGAAAGAATGGGACTGAGAGACAAAAGGGGAGGAGAAGATCAAATAAACACTTTTGCTTCTGAGGTCTTTACTTCGGGGTATTATTTTCTGA